AACATTTGGTGAAATCAACTCATGAACAGTTTGTGTTGTTGGCATAAACTATATGTTGTGTATGTGAATTTTATACGAGAAAACTACTTAAAAACTTTCACTATATAAAATAGGTAGAATATGGTTAGACGTCGGATGCAGTATGTGCGTTCTATCCAATTCAGAACTCATCAGCCGGATATACCTACATCATAGCGTTGTTATTTACTCCTGGGACACGAATCTAGTACCTTTCACTTTAGACGATGAACATGTTTAACAGTGAGCAACTCAGTCCAAATAGCTACTTGCTTATGCAATAAATATAATGTTTATATCATGATTAAAATGCGCTTGGATTATACAGTTGTTGATATTGTCGGTTAAGTTTTGATCAGTCTTGATTGGCAAATGTACGGATTACCTTGATGTACATAGATTAACTAAGACTGATCAAAAGTCAGTCAAAATATCAGCAAATGGATAATCCAAACCATTACAAATTAAATTAACTATCATAATTGCTCATTTGGAAGCGGTCAATGAAGAAATAATAAGAAAGTCCACCTCACTAATCTTGGTGAACCAGTGAGAAGATGTAGTTGATCTGAAAATGTTTGTTGTATTTGAGCTAACAATTTGGTCACATTACAGTCTGGTCAAGGCATTCCATATGAAAATAGATGAAGGTCAATTAAATAGAAGTTCAAATAAACATAAGGTGAGAATTGTAAATAAAGGAGAGAGGAAATTAACATTCAACAATAATTATTATAGGCAGATAGACGGTATAGCCATGGGCTCACCTCTAGGCCCGATTCTAGCTGATCTCTTTCTAGCAAAGCTAGAAAATGGACCCCTGAACGAAGTTATTCAAAAACTTGATCTATATTGCCGTTATGTCGATGACACATTCATCATTGTAGATCAGGACACCAGGAAAGAAAAACTTTTAGAACAATTCAACAATGTACACCCGGCAATCACGTTCACTGGGGAAGAAGAATATGATGAAAAACTGTCTTTCCTTGACATCACACTAAGTAGGCGAAAGGATGGTTCACTAAGTAGAAGCGTGTATAGGAAAAATCCTAGTGCTTGCCAATACACTCACTTTTGTAGTTTTACACCTATCCGCTACAAAAGAAATTTGGTTAGATGTCTCACTTACAGAGCAAATATGATATGTTCAATGGATACTGTAAGTCAGGAGCTGGAATTCATCAACGGCTCACTAACCGAGATTGGTTATCCAAGCGCATTCTTAAAGAAGTATATGTCTGCCGTAAAAAAGAAGCCGGTGGTTTCGACTGCCCGAAAGAAGCCTTTGTTTATGAAGCTACAATTCAACGGAGATGTGGCCTGCGATACTCTGCAGGATAGATTAAGAAGAGTAATCAACAGAACATTCAACGCTGCAAAACTTGCATTGACTTTCTCCAGTCGACCTGCGATGTCTACTCAAACGAAAGATAAGTTACCTGAGCTGGCCTCCTCTATGTGCATTTACAAATTCAGCTGCTCCTGTGGAGATAGCTATATCGGGCGTACTTCCAGGCAACTTACACAACGAATGAGTGAACATCTCCCAGCATGGTTTACAAAGGGTCAGTCAAAAACAATACGCAGTTCTATCTTAGCACACCTGGTAGATAGTGGTCACATTGTAGATAAATCTAGATCTTTTCGGGTGATCTATCGTATACCTCCATCATTTCCCAACGGAGTTCGATCCCGTCTCCTACACATTGCAGAAGCCATAGGAATACGCACATTCAACCCTAATTTATGTGTTCAGAAAAAATTCGTGACACCCCTATCTCTTCCGTGGCCGGATATGACGTAACTAACGATTGACATTATATATATATTTTATTTATTTTAATTTAATTTTATTATTTTTATTATTTTTACACATCTGCTTATTCCGTAATGTTTTTGATGTTTTTGATGATTATTTGATTTCTATTCATCCACCCTTGACCTACTTTAGTTATCATATTTTATAAATTGTCCTACTACTATCGGTTCACCTATCTTCCTACTATCCACTTGTACTTTTGCCTTTTTCATTTCATTGTGATTATCACTCAAATTGCCTTGATTGGTTTAACATTTTCATATCAATATTCATGTATATTAGAGTAAAGCTTGATGACGATCTAATCGAAAACAATATTGTTCGCTTATATGCGTTAATATAAAGTTTACTCTTCCTTTACTAATCATGTTATTTTTCAAGATTTTATCACCTTGTTTGTTTTCCAATATAAACCACAAACAATACAATGCAAATAGATTATAAAACTATTTGAAGAACGATTGCAATGCTCTTATTACCTGCAGTTTCTAGACTCAACTGAAAACTCGTATACCTAAGATAGACAAGAATACATTATCTAACTCTTGTTAAAATTCTGTTAGTGAGACAATATTCTACTTGATAAATTGATATAATAATATTTTCTGTTTTATTAAATTACATGACTATTGGGAACGAATAAGTGCAAGCTAATAACCATGTTCAGCTAATACTCTTGTGTTTTGCAGTTGAAACTTCTATGAACGAATATCTATTTAATTACCAAATGAATCGGAAAATGAGTAAACCAACACAATCATAGAAGAAATACTTATTAATAACGCAGTAAAATTATCTTTGCATTTGGTATAAGAATGTTTCCATAATTTACTTGGAAAAAAAATCAACTGAAAGTAAAATTGGTAATTTATTAATAGTATCATAACTCCAATATACATACAAATCAAATTTCTTATCTTTCATATTACCCAACTTTACTGAATATGCTTTCTAAAACAAATCAGACTATTCATTGTCTGCCAAATCTTTATAATGTCACAAATAAAGGCTTAAATTGTAACCAAACTGGTTTGCCATCAAAACATTGCCTGTTTTTGAATTCCATCTTAGTGAACAGATCAAAAGTCGAAGTGGACAAACCAAGTAGTCTAATCAAAAACATTTATCTACTCTAGTTATTAAGTTGTTTGTCTAACTCGTGATTCAACGACCAAATAGTGCAATAGTAAATGCTTTTAAAGTGTATCTTCAAAGATTTATTAACGAATGGCTTAACAAATTGTACCAATCCATGCGATACCTAGTTTTTGATTTCAACTTTCATCAGAATTTCACATCAGAACTCTACCTATTTTGGTATGAATAATCTTGACTTAGTTACTTTACTTGATTACTCCGACTAAGCCCGACAAGATGTTACTCATTAATGTATCGATCTAGGGAGATACAGCGTAAGATAACTATTTTTCGGTAAGCACATTCACCAAGAATTTTTTTAATCTTATGTACCTTACTATCATCTTATTCACAAGTAATCAATGTCTACTTTAGTAATTCATTAAGATCGCTAAGTCTGTTTGAGTAAAATAAGATATATATATGTATAAAATCTACGGACATTTGAATAAACTCAGAAACATATGTGTTTTACAGAAAAACAATCAAGTTAACTTCAGAATCTTTAAGCTGATGAATTACAGACAATCCAAACTATATGTCACAAACAACCGTACACACAACAAATTGTCGATGAAGAACATAATTCACTTTTGGGCTGTGAATTTTCTCGTCGGTGATGTTTAGGACTGCTGTTGATCAGTCTCTTTTTCGCATATATGCATCCTGAGCCGACTACCTCGACATTGTAATCGGTTATAAACATTTCCAAGCTGAACCGGAGTATAGTAAAAACACTGAAAACAATATTCATTTGTTGCTAAAATATGGAAATAATACTATTCACGTAATACTAGTGCAGAAATTCAGAATATACTAGCAAAATCTTTGTATAGATTTTTGGGATTATTTACATATATAGCAAAACGTCTGTTGATTAACTGAAATAAAAAACAAACGTGAGCTTTGCCAAATATAAAATATTTGATCTTTAAGTCAAATAACTAAATATTAATTATTGTTAACACGAAACTTCATGTTTAGAGGTATGAACATAAGTCATATTTTCCATCAAATATTCAATCAAGATTATAATAACACTTGAAAATCTTAGACTACGTACCCGATATAAAACAAATCCAATCGATGCAAGTCGAGGAGCACGATGACGTAAACGACGACGATCAGCTTGCATAAGAGCAATTACGGTTGTAGCGAGTCCATCAGGATCATTTGGATCGGGTGAATTAATTACTAGTCGAAACTGAGGATTCGCCCAGTGACTTGCACGGATGTATGGTCGACCTCCACAAGAGACACCTCGAAGCCATCGGCCACGTAAGTGAACTGATGGAAAATTATGTGAGGAATGATAAGCATTGGAAGATTTAGAAATTACTGGAGGTGGCTCTGTTAAATGACAAATATCCAGATAGTCGAAATTGGCAATAAAATCTTCAATGGACATCCTGGAAAAATGAAATGTATTGACATAAATGAACGGATAACTATGAATTCAGTACGAATAAAATTTAAACCTACACTGCATGTAAACACAATAAATTTTGATCCACTTTAAAGTTGATTTGGTGTAAAGGTAGGTTTCAATGAAAAATAATTTAGTGCAGTCAAAAAAATGATAATCAATAGATGATTGACAGTTGTTTCGTATTCCTGAACCTTCAACGTTATGTTATCACTACCAGGAATAGTGTTGAACGTTGGTTAATGGTTTGATATAAATAAATTATTCAAAGAAAATGATGAAACAAACATTAAACCTTACTTGTAAAGTATTTAATTTGATTAAATTAAATTATACTTCCGAATATTATGAAATATTTTTATAATTACGAATTACATTTATACACAAGATGTCTTTTCTGAATATTGGAAAAAATAGACTATAATTTACTGTTGGAATTAGTGCGTAATATCATCAAAACAAGTTAAAAACAGCCTTTATTTTGCATTTTAATCTTAGAGAATAAATGAAATTTAAAAAAGAAAGCACATATAAAATTATCGGAAACAAATTCATATAATTTTATTACCAAAACTCTTCTTGAGCCTTCACTAAGCCAACTTTTAAACGATCTTGTGCTGGAAGACTGAGCCATTCTGTTGAACCTTCTGACCATGCACCTGTCCAGTCAACACGAACCGAAGGCCATAAATTTCTTAAACGAACCAAACGGAGTAAACGACTTCCTGATGCATCTGTCAGTCGAAGCTTTCGACAATCGGTTAAACCAAACGCCTGGCCAGGTACAAATCCTACCGGTATAACGAAACCTGGGCCAGGTACTCCTTTAGTCTGATTTCAATCAAAATAAGACAGTTTTACTAACATCAATTGAAAAATTATTTTAAAAAAAATTCGGAAAATTGCCTGTAACAATACTAGCTGCCACGCTCTAAAGATATCACTTATGGTCGCACCAACACGCAATGTTTTAAACAACGAACACAATATCTCATTCGGCCATCCGGGTTTGAATCACTCAGGCCATATCTTACTAATTGAACTGATTTACGATTATAAATTTATTTCATTTCTGACTTTGTTGAACAGATAAGTTACAGCTTTTAACTAGATGGGTCAATGAATATTATTAGAGAATTAATTTATAAGATTATTTTAAGACCTTGATAATCTGGATAAAAATGTTTATAATGCATTATAGAATTACTGTATTCTTAGTGACTCTTGAATAAAGAAGGTTAGAAATAAATAGTAACTCAAAAGCTTGCTTTGTTACTGTGCATGCAAATTATCTGTCATATTATCTACAGCTACTTTGCAAACAATGCAATCCAATCGCAATCAAACATTTTCCATTGATATTAAACACTGAATTAAAGGTTGTATGTCTGTGGTCAAATCCAATACTGAAAGATGGGACAAGATGAATTTAATGGTTTATGAATCATGTGGAAAACATCCCATAACAAATGAGCCATGTAATCAAATCGACAACTGTGGCTAACATTTATCTATTCAGACAAACACTTTAGATATTTCTAGGTTCCGTAATTGTTTATTTCAAATAATCGATCACTCAGTAATAAAACTACTGTGTTGCTTAATATTTAGTACTCGTCGAATTTTATTGATCAGGTTTATTATATAGGCACACTTAGCTAAATTACTTGACTTTGCAGTGTACGTTATTTAGTATGAAGTCGTTACAAGCTAACGACTGAAAAAACTGGATCCAACTTTCATAACACACAACATCAGTCAGCTATGAATTATTTTAATAATAATGGAATCAGTGCACCTGATAAATTAAAACTCAGATCATTCGGTAGCGCAGTCGGACATTTTATGACCATACTTTGTGGATCTGTTAACTTGTTTTATTTACACCACTGTTACGCGCATTTCATAAGGCTCAATGTATTGTAAATTTAACTAACATTAAGTTACGGTTTGGAATCATTCATCATCATCATCATCAACAACAACAACGTAGAACTTTGCACATAAGTACAGCAGTTCAAGTTGTTATATCACATTAGCACAGAGAATTTTATCCTTATAAAGTGGAAGTTTTTGATTTTACTTAACTTCAAAGTTTTTTAATATTCATTGACAATAGTCGATTAACTAAAAGAAACACTACTGCACACATTAGTCTCTCTTAATAACAGATCTTGAGAAAAATACACTTATGTTAAGGCGAGTGAAAAAGTTCAAATTCATAGCTTGTTTCAATACTTCTTTCAACTGATTAGTTTTTGCAACCACGTTATTCGAGTACCACCTGGCAAAAATAGTTATCTTATGCTGAAATAATTTTTTGCATCAATGTAACATATCAATTATTTAGTAATATATTTTTGAAGAGTAAATTATTATAATCAATATTTCATTAGCCAGTTAACAATCATTAGACAAGATCAAATATCTGGGGACTTTATAAAGTATCACAGAACCGATTGTAATCGACAAAAATGAGTAAAATAATCCTAGAATCCGCAACCTACATTAGTAATGTGTGAGGAAAAGAATTAAAAATAAAGAAATCACTTAGAAGAATAAAATCCATTAGGAGGATATGTAGCAAAATTTTGAAATTGTAGTTTCAGGAAAACGAGCGAACCAACAAACCTTTATACGAGCTGTTATTAAACTTCGACGATCAAATGATTTTATTAATATATCGTCTAAATCGGATGGAGGTTGAAGTCCATGATCTTCTGCCCCTGGAAGTGTGTATGATTCCGTTAACCCACCAGTCAGATCATCCATTGCATCACCAACAAGTCCAACATTCAAGGCTTCATATGACCCATTTAATCTGAAATTATTAGCAATTTTCTCAAAAATAAATTATGGTGATAGCAAAAATTAATCAACTTAATTTAGTAGAACTGCTAAAGATTCAGAATGATTAGCTGAAAGTGGGCATTTTAACATCTGATGCCACTATTTTTATTGTTTCCCTGCTTGTCAGAAGTGTCATCCTGATGGCTTCTAGAGACTCCTAACTTTACCCATGAGGAACCATGACTCTTTCAGACGAAAAGCCTTCTTTATTCACATTTTATTGTCTTTTTCTGACTGATGTCTTTATATTGAGATTCCACTTTACAAGGCGGAGCCGCTAACCCTGTTCCCAACCTTCCTCCTCATCTCCCACCCGAGTTCGGAGCTGGCAGTAAACTTAGAGGGGCTCCACGTAGGGTCATTGAAACCTAGGCAAGTTTTTAAATTGAGACTTACTAAAGCATTGTTGATTAGAATCTGACATAACCACATAATTAGACCCAGGTTATTCATCCAAAATAAAAAACACTGTAATGATAACTTATAATCAAAAGTCACCGTTAACCTAACTTTCAATACCAACCGTTTTTCAATTCATATTATTTAACATATCATCATTCATCCCATCGATTTCGAAAACTTAATAAGCTATAGGATAATTAAAGTAAGTGGTGAATTAGTGTACAGGGATCAAAACAAGAAACTCAAATCTCACTGAACAATAATATGTCAATGAATCATAAATACACATTCTACCAATAACTGTGTATTTTCCACGAAATAAACGAATTAACGTTATTTTCAAACGATATTTGTTCTTTCTTTATTCAAGTTTACAAATGGAAAAAATATTATGAAATCTTTATTTCTTGTTTTCATGTATATTTTCGATCACTGTTATACAGTATGATCAACTGGAATAAGAAAAGCAACTAGTCAGTACATAATAACGATCTCATTGTTTTGCAAGTACTGTGTAGTACTCTTTAGGAAAATTCACGTAACTAACCATTGGATCTCAGTTTTCTCGAAGATTTTTATCAGCCTAGTAATCTGCCTTTGCAATCATGAGGCAGTTTTTAGTTGATTATTAATTCATAAATACCTGTGCCAAAAACAACAACTTATCGGATAATTGTGTACAGTAAATTACTTCAAGTGAATTATTAGATAGAAACATTCAACTAACTTTGCATAAGCTTTCTCCAACAACGTTGGCCAAAATTCTGTTAAACGTCCAGAATGAACAAATAATGGCTGTCCACCAGATCTAACTGGAAGACGATCATCAATGTAAACTTCTTCCCAACGCCCAAAACGCCAGAATCGAAAAGCAAATATACCAGCATACCATTCTACTCGAAAAGACTGTCCAGTAGGAATGGTACGACTAAGTAGACTTGGTTGGCTAGCTATAGCAGCTAGCGCAGCAACTACCCAACAATCTCCTACAAATTAAGAACAGAATTGGTCAGTATCATGAGTTCTATAACTGACCTAATGAAGTAAACCAAACAGCCAAGCGTATGAGTAAAAATTGAGCATCAAAAAGATACACGAATACTAATGAATGCTTATTAAAACAACTGCTTTTATTTACCATAAATGCTGGGAGGAGAATGAGAGGTTAGTATAAAACCCTTTACGCTTGGAAATCGGAATCCTTGTTTGGCAGTTAATAAAGTGAAATTTTTAACAGAACTGTAGACGTCAAGTTGTTAACACGAGCAGAGTCAAATTGGTTACCTGATGAGCAGATTTATGTTCAAGACATTTTTATTAATGATATTGTTTCCTATGAATAAGCAATTGAACACAATTTACGATAAAAATTTCCCTGTGACTTGTCTTATTTATTGAAAGTTATTCGTGCACTCATATATGGAAACTAACAATAGCTTAACATTTTTTGACGACATCATATTTTAATTCAAAATTAAATTAAACTGTTAAACTAAAGGTAAACAGGTCACTGTTATTATTTTTAATCAACTGTTTCTAGTCGGCTGCTGTCAAATATTTGATTTATTATCGTTATAAAAACATTTTTAAAATTCCTACTTTGATGTAATATTTGATAATCCTACTGAACTTCTGTTTGACTTCAATCACATAAAAAATTTATCACTTTGAAATTCAGTTCTGATAATTAAGAAATTGTTTAAAATCCTATTCATATCCAAGTCCTCATGTTTGATATAATGTAAAATATCAAGTACTTCTAGATTATGTATTCAAAATTTGATAATTTTACAAGTTTGTGACTAACCTAATTCTCCCTGTCTCAATTCGCTAAGTTTGATTCCACCTTCACCAATGAATTCTGGTGTTGAAATCTTTCTTGGAGTTATGCCCATGGAGCCACCACCGCTGTTTGCCGCAACTATTTCACTTGGACGCATCCACACAATTTGACATGGTGGTCTTTGACTGTAATAAAGACTTGAATCATCGGCTGGGAAAGTAGAATCACAAAATAGATGACCCGAATGGAGAAGATCTTGACGAATTTTTTCAAATGAACTTGAAGGTCCTCCGACGGGACTGAAAACTGTACTTGGTTTATTCGCAACCATAGGGCTAGGACTTGCTCCTACATCCGGTAACAGGGAAAATGTAGAACGTTATTGTAAATATAAACGAATAAAAATCGTCGATGTATAAAGGAAATGCTCCATTATACTTACTTGACGACGTTTAAATCAGTAGCTGATGAAAACTGCAGAAAAACGTAATGCTCTTTATCATAAACAATCATACATTTTTGCCAACCACTCTCATACTATGAAAATATACTCAAACTAAGCCTTACAAATAAAGCTAGTGGAATTAAAAAGTAGACTTTAATGTAAATATATTTCCATTTATTGCTCTTACAGTTGAAGTACTTGACGGGATAAATTTAGGTAGCCATATAGTTCATCAACGAAACACTAGAACTCGTTGTTTGTTACACTAAAAAGCTATCATAAGTATTTGAAGTGAATTGCTCACATTTATTTTTGCAATATTTTTAGCCTACTCTAAGTTGAATTGAAAATACTATGTAGAGAGTTTAGATGAAACTTGACTTGAAAGTGTTATTAGCTTACAGTCTTATAACGTTAGAAAAAGATGACCAAATTTGTTTAGGCAAATTTGGAACTGTATATACTAAGTATACTTACTCACTTGTGGTAAGTTGATTGGAAAACCACAAAACTAGGATATCCAGAATCTGCAGTGGTCTTACTTTCCCAGAACGGATGGAAGGGGTTAGGTAAGGTGAACCTTAAGAATTACATACATGACCTCACTCCACGAATTTTCGCACATGATGTTAAGACTTTTTGAAGCTAACACACCGAGAACTTCCAACAAAACTATGTGCATAACTGTCCTCAGGCAGTTGGCTCATTTGTCCAGTGGTCACGATACTAAGTCAGTAGAACTAACGCTAACCCGAATCGCCCTTCGGTTCTACGCTCCTACTAACTTCAGCTAAGATAAAGTAAAAAATAAAATTTTTGGGAGACCTCGCAACCTATCTTCAAAAAGCTGGAAACTTTGATATAATAATAATGGCTGGTGATTTTAATGCTCGATTAGGTGGACTACACAAAACCGAAAAGCATCTAGGTGGACCTTATAGATCCGAGGCTTGACGGCCGTTTACCGTCTATTTGTGGCAAGCATCAAACTTGGGCATAAGAAAAAGCACATTTTGACATGGTAACCCCCACAACCAACTCAACGATCAATTTGTCAGCATTTACTGAACTGAAAGACGCCCAGAAACTCATTTTGTCTGACCACTATCACGATGAGAAGCTGAGACAGTTCAAACGTAGGCTAATAAAAATCATACTGATTGACTGTGGTTCGTAGCGAAAACAAAAGAGATGGAAAAGGTGGTGGTGATAGGTAACGGTAGACTTATCAAGGAAGCTAGTATTAGGTATCCAACTATTAGCGAGAGTCTGTCGGAAAAAATATATGACTATTATTTATTCTCCATCCACGATATTGGTAGACAGGCAGTAAACTTTAGTAAACAGTCCAAGTGGTCTTCAGCCACACCGCATCTAACGATTATTGCCAAACAATCTGAATGGCGAATTCACGTAAGTGCTCTAACGCTGAATGAGGTCAACTTTCTCATTGATATGATCTTAGATACAACACATTCTCGATCCCTCATTGTTCCAGTTTATAAGAAAGGACAATCAGTCTAACTAATATAGTTTCTAAATTGTTAACCTCGATGATACTTCGACGCCTAACTGCTCGTTAAGAGCAGACTCGAGAAAACCAGGTTGCTTTCAGACCTGGACGTGGCTGTATAGACCACACTTTCACACTACGACAGGTCCTAGAACACACACATATAAGCGTCCGACAATAGTCGTGTTCCTGGACCTAAAAGCGGCATTTGACTTAGTGGATCGTGAAGTTCTGTGGCAGTGTCTGTCATTCAAAGGTGTACCAACGAAGAACAATTATCTTATATGAGCTCTCTACTCGAACACTACAGGTCAAGTTAGAGCTTATGGCGAACTGTCATCGGAATTCTCTACTTCAAGAGGCATCGGTCAGGGATGTCTAATTCCCCATTCTTGTTCAATTTTGTCATATACATGCTGCTAGTTATAACTTTATCTTCGTCTGAATTTTCAGGAGTGGACCTTCTACCAGGATGCTCGCTTGCTGACTTAGAACATGCCGATAACATAGTTGTATTCTGTGAAGACGCTGACAAAATACAGAGTCTTCTGAATACCATAAGCAACAATGCAAGCAAGTTCGAGATGTGGTTTTCCCTCTCGAAATGCAAAATGTTGCTTCAAGATTCGGTTGCATCGGTACCTGAACTAGTGATAGGGAGTGAAGTAGTTGAGAGTGTTCACTGCTTTACTTACCTCGGGAGTCTCATCAGTGCCGATGGCCTGGTGACTGATGAAATGTCAGCATAGATAGAAAAGGCTTGATCGGCTTTTGCCAACATGCGTCACCTATGGCGGAAGCGAGATATTCGTTTGCTAAACAAAGGACGAGTCTACTGAGCAGCAGTTAGCTCTGTCCTACTTTATGGCTGTGAAACATGGACAGTCAGAGTAGAAGATATTCGTAGGTTACTGGTTTTCGATCATAGGTGTCTCCGAACCATTGCTCGTACATCCTTGGACAACCGAGTGAGCAATGCTGTCGTTAGAAATCTAGTACTTGGTTAGGGGGTGGAAGATCAATAGATGAAGTATTGAAATTTCATCAGTTGAGGTGGTTGGGACATGTGTAACTAATGCCTAACCACCGACTGCCTCTTCGAGCTATATTTTGTGGTGCAGGAATAGGTTGAATGAAAGCTAAGGGCGACCAGACCCATGGCAGAAATCAATGAAGTCACTGACGAGTAAAATGAGTTATGTTGGTAGATGTAGACTACCTGGTTGGAGTCCGCGAGATGATAATAGTTGATGGTTAGAGACACTGAACGACGTGGCTCAAAATCGTTTGGAGTTTCGCGGGTGCATTCACTTTTTGTGTTCTCTGAAATCCTAACCTTCTGAATTCCTCATCACTCTATCTTTTTCTTATTAAGTTTATTTCACTAGATTCTACTTCTTGAATAGTATCTTCGAACCCTAATCTCTCTGATTACTGTTACTACCTTTACTACCTCTACTACTATGGAATTTGAGTTGGCAATTTCATTACGCTCTGTGCTCATGTGGTATGGCAACATCAACTGATGTACATACGCATGTACGAAGTTCCACGTTGCTGTTGATTGATCGATTGAGATGCAACACATTCACCATCTGATTTTTCAGGTGTCATCCTTCTACCAGGAGATTCATTTGTTGACCCACAGTACGTTGCCCCGAAATTTTTTCCTTTCGAATTTATTGGTGTAAAGCACACGCACTGAGGATTGAGGATATTCGTGGATTATTAGTATTCAAATGTAGGTGCATCCAAAGGAGTGCTCTTGTAATTTGAGATCACCGAGTAGGTAATGTTTGGCCTAGTGACAGGGTACTCGGTAAGGAAGGCAAATTGACTGTTGAGGTAACGAATCTTCATTGGTTGAGGTCGTTTTGACGTCTGCACTATACAGCATCGCTCGTCGACTTAGGCGGTAGCTGGGCTTATATAACAGAAATAGGCTGAAGGAAAACTAAACGTCGTCATAACAAAACATGGCGCCAATTCATGAAGTCACTAACAATTCAAACGAGCTTCACTAATAAGTGTAGACCAACTGATTGGGCTCCGAGTGATAATCTTGACCTGTGTTTAGAGACTTTGAATGGTTTAGTTCAAAATCTTTTGCAGTGGCACAGACGAATCCATTCTTTGTCACGCCCAAATCCTAGGCTCGTCAGTTTCTCACAATTCTTGGAAACATTTACTTCACTGATGTATATTTTCTTGAATCTTATCTTCGACCACTAATATTTCCTATTAGCTCGGTGAATGCTTCTAATTTTATATTTTGGGTGCGGTTAGATTAGCGTTTTGAATGATGAATTAGACAAAATTAAATTATCTTACAACGTTTTGAAAATTGAATCGTACGTTAGTTTTAAGATTTCACACGGTTAAATATAATTTTTAAAAATTTAAAAAATTCCACCGAAAGTATTAGGAATACGTTGTGAGGATAAAGTGTCTGCTAAGAATTATTTAATTAACAATGTTATATTTTATTAACATTTTACTCTATAATTTACTGCTTGAGTAACTAGTTGCATTCATACATTTTTCATTAAATTACTTAAACATTCTATTTTTAAATGCATTACTGACTTTTTATATCGAAATACCTAATACTTTGGTGCAAGCTCAATAGTTGGCACTAACACAGATTAATCGAACTTAATCTTGCTGTACTATGAGTATAGATTAGAGTAGTGATAAGTAAAAACAAGACAAATATACAAAATCGCTATACATTTTGATTAGTAGCAGGATTGTATGCAATTCAGGTGAATTTTTTCTTTAGTGAGTAGTTGGTGTTTCTCAGAAAGAATAGTTATACTTTGTTGACTTTCGTGGTGTAATGATTGGCAAGCGATTAGAATGTTTTTAGCCAGAAAAATTACTGTACGGATATACGTTAACGGTGCTTCTGTTTTTCCCCAAGAATTTGAACAATAAATGACTTTATATTACGGAAAAACTGTCTGCGAAGTTTTCTCATAATCACATTTATGTTATGATAAATACTGTTTTCTTTTTGGACAACCACATCTTTTCCTAAAACGCTACCCAATAATGACTCTCGTCCAAGAAAATTCAAGCGACCCTTAAATAGTAGATTTTTACACGATACCTTTATTAGAACTAATTATTGACGTCAAAGTTTAATTTTCAAAGATATAAGTTTCGCCATCAATAATCACACCTTATCGAGCAATAAGCACTCAGTTTGGATATAAAATTCTGCTCATACACATTTAAAAATGGTTCAGTAAAACATCGTAGTTGCAGAGCATAATATCATAACAGGTTCAAAAAATCACTTTGTCAACACCTAGTATTGACTACTCGACAGTATAAATATAATTCTTATGAAACTACTAAATGTTACCGATTGTCTTCACTTTTTAATATGCATTCATTGTACTCACCACATGGCCAGTCAACTTTTCCTCTATTCTTTCACACTTCCAGGTACTTTCATATGTGCTACTTCTCATGCTCCTTCAGGATAGACATAGAACTACAAACGTCTAAACATGAAACCTTAGGAATAAAACTATTGAGTGCGCTTAATCTGAATCTTAACATTAATGAACTTTATATCTTCAAACTTTGGTCAGTATTTTTGAAAAAACATAACTAAAAGTTTTTTCATTATCTGCAAAAATTTAATCTTAACACCTATGTAAACAAGTACAAACCTATGCCATTTGAGGTAGAAAGTCTTGCATTTTGGTGTCAAATGTATTCATTAATATGGTGAAATAGAATGTTATCAAAATAACTGTCATTTTGTGATGAAAACCTTCAACTCTAATTCCTCGCCCCAACATCCAAATGTGAAGTCAAACCCTAATTCGTGACATCTATATGATTCAATTTTCAGCGCTAGTAGGTGAATGAATATCAACAAAGCATTATTTAAAAATCATCCAAAAATCATAATCTCATTGAAGATAATACGTGGCTACACAGAAATGCATTCTGTCTGATGTGCAACAGCCAAAATATAATGATAAAAAACAACTGAATAAAATAAGAACAATAAAATTAGACACAAAAACTGACGAGGATCGTCGAAAACAAAACTTCTTCGCATCTTAGTTCAGCATAAAACTTAATATGCTATTCCACTTACTGCAATAATTATTTTCAGTAGCTTTGGGGCTCAAATGGCTCCTTTCAGGATCACATAACATTGCTCTTGTGTTGTGTCTTGCTTTTTGCATATCGTTGACATATTTTTGAGGTGTATCTGGAGGATATCCTATTTTATCTCTTAGTTTGTATTGTGAATTAGAATTGTGACCATATCCGAAAGCGTCTCCACATACATTCAGATGTTCTAATTTGTTTTCCAGTGAAGAGTGCAAAGGTAGGTTGGACTGCATTGAGTATCACGGACAACAAATCGTCCACTAACACAATTACGAAAATTCCAGATGAGATGTCATTCTGTTCATCCCACCGCTAAAAGTTCATAAGAAAGGAATTAGTGTTCTGAAAAATTCAAACAACAAATCTAACGTGGACAGTTTTTTCATTTAGATATAAAATATTATCAAACTTATCACAAGGTGTGTGGAAAGAATCGAATGTCTGTAACTTTTAGCCTTATACATTTGCACAACTTATTCTCATGCACTGTCTGCGATAATTGTTTGATAAATTAATTGTTCAGGTATAAATTCCCTCAGATTCTAACAGTTATGTATTTACACAAGAGGTTAGTCTTTAAACTTTTCATAAATACCTGGTGAAATTAGGATAACAGGCAACATCCTGTTATATATTATGAAGCCGTAAGCAAACAAAAGCCCTGGTCCACATATATGGATGGACTGAGGTCATGGCCACACCGTCATGAATGCTGGTCAGATACACCACCCTTCCTCGCTTTGTGTTGTTAGGTTCTTTTCCATTTGGTGGTGTATTTTTATCAGTTTTTAGTCTGAGCTCAATTTTTCACATACCTTGTCTGAATATTCTGTTACAAACAAACCAGATGACTTTAGCTTCTGTATGTTCGATGATATTGTAACGGTGTATTTTACGAATATGACACATTTGCTGAAATCTAAACACTAATTCTAACAACGGTTGTTCTATTGTACTACTTTTGATTATCTGTACTATAGACTATCTCTCGCGCTCCAAGCTTGTCATTCCCGATTCCGCTTCTCTTCTGGATGGTTGTTAGCCACTTCTTTATTCCGGTCTTGATATTATTTCGATATCAAAAGACGACGGAACAATATGCCTACAGAAATTATTGCGTTCTAATTTGTTGATCTATCAGGACTAAACTGGGTAATCTGGAGAAAAAGGATAAATATCATCTCGCTATAGCTGGTGAGCAACGACAACGAAATCACATCAAATACGGTGAGTCTGTCATTTTCTATCCACTTTTCTGACTATTTTAACAGTTGTTTAATATACATCGATATTTTTTATATATAATATAACTGCAACAGCGTTTGAAAACGGTGGATAGACCCAAAAATGACGATAACCTAGCAGACTCCCAGATGCAGGTTCGACCTCTCGCTTTTCCCCACGAACCAGCTGCAAATGTTTGCCTACGCACCGTAGTTTCTCCCTGGAGACCACGTAGCCGCTGTTCGTTGGGGAGTTTTCAATCCTACTGCGCCTGGTATTAACGATCGTCTTAAACAGGCGATTCTCAGACATTTCCTCTCATCGAGAGAGGAACGGTTGGGAACTCGTCACCGAATGGGTGATGCTAAACTTAGCCACCACCTCACACGCCTCCGTTGTTTCTGAGTCTGTAAGCAGGCTCGTTGTTCATAATAGAACTGGATGTTACAAACTAACTAACCAAACTGTTAGAAATACTGTTGATTTACAGAAGACAATAATAAGGCACAGTGATTTGATGCTTTTGTGAACATTTTATTTATCCTTTTTCTTTTTAACTCTGTTGATTAAAAAGTCATGGGTGAGCTATTTTTCAGTTTAATTATCTCGATCTGTTTGTAATAGGATATCTTGACAGGAACGTAAAACCATTGCAAGGTTCCAAACATGAGTCGTAGACAAGTTTAACAAGGAAAAGTAACATCAATATCACTGATTAGTTACATCATGCTGTATCGTAAGAAGCTGTAAGCAAACAAAATGGTCTGTTCCATCGGCATGGACAGGTTGGGGGTTATCGCCTCACCACCCTCCCTCATTTTGTGATGTTAGGCTTTTTTACGTTTAATAGTAGATTTTAATTACTGTTATTTGGTGAAAGCTCTACACTTTGTGCACCTTGTCGGAATTCGCTTTCTCTTCTAGCTCCAAGTTACAAGCAAACCAGACAACTTTGCCTTCTGTATGTAGGACAAAATATCCACGTAGCATATCACAATGATATAAAGTAAACTAATGGTATAAATTTTAAGATATGTGTCAGTTAATAGGTAGTTTGGAGATAGGTAGGATAGGAAGCTGGAGAAAAAGATGAGTTGAAGTAGTGTTTAAAAATTAATTAGTAAAACGATAAATTGATAAGCAAGCGAGGTGTTTGGACGTTAATGTGATGGGAAAATAAAATTTATCACACTGTTATTACTTAAACGAAAAAGAACTGACAATGAGAATTATTCCAGATAATTTCTTCATTTACATGATAATTACATTTCTTCGATCTTCATCGCAAACTTATTCTTCGAATGTTCGTAAAAAGCACTCTGATGACTGTCACGGTAGGATGAGCCAGTGCAGATAATAGTGTGAATTTTTAGAGCCATTAGGGTTACTTGATCCTTACCAAATAACCATTCGATAGGGTAGTGACTGTAAAACATCACCGATCTAAGTCAAACTCAAGGACAATCAGAGCTCAACAGTCGATATCACTGGAAGTGCTGGCCCACATATCAGTGGTCGTACTCAGTTTTTTCATCCTTCTTCTAATTGTAAGTTTCCTTAAGTACGTTACATTCGTTTTAAAGTCCCTTAAGTTGCCACAGTACCTAGACATGTCGAGAGGGCAGCATGATTTGTGTCAGTTGCAAGGTGTGACTTTGATGACATTTTCTATGTTATAGCATTTTCCTCCGACTTGATTAAACCGCCGTTATCAATGCAGACCACTAATGTCGGTGTTCTATGACCTTTTTGTGGGATTTTCTAAATTAGGTAGTAACAAGTCTACACTTGCTGTATAGGCCAATATTCTAGCAAAACAGATAAGTAAGCTAATAACGATCTAAATCACTTCCAGATGGTTAACCTTTTCTTCCTACCAAACGACTATGACTGGCTGTTATTGTTTGATGGTGAGTGAAATAACACAATTTCCGAAAGGAATTTACCTAATTATTGAAGGCAAAACTACTCGGCGTAATATATAAATAGGGTTGCCTGGTAAGCGACCATGTAAAATGCCTCCAAGAAGCCAACAATAACCCGCTAACAAGATGACTCAACAGACAACCTAGGTCAATATAAACTTTTTAGAAGCCTAAGAACATAAAAATACGTAATTATGTGTAAGTGAAAGACCATCAGTGACGGCCGTTATGGTATAAAATACATCCTTTATGTTCGAAACTTTAGGCAATAAATGGTACTGTATATCAATTTCCTATACGATTATGGTATGCGAAATCCTTATATTCCTTGGTCAATATGGTAAACTATATGGTCATGTAGGATAGTTTGCAGCAACACCTTCGATAGCAAGGATTACTAATGAGTGAAAACTGGGAGACAAATGCTGCGACGCTCATGAAATAATTCTGAGCAGTCTCTTTATAACAACAGACAGGCCAGGCAGGAAAACACTCTACTTAAAGGGAGACTAAGGGCATCTCCTATCAAAGATAAACGTCTTCGCTAGATAAAAGATCACTCCAAAACAAATGAAAGTTAATTCTTATCTACTAAACATCAGCCAGTAATAGTCATAAATTTCCTGCTCCTATTCCAATAAACGAATAACTATGAAGAATAAACGTTGCAGGTCTGAAAGTGGGTTTTTATTAGTAGAGAACTGGAAGATGGAGAATACCCAAACTTGGCCTAAATCCATCAATTAAATGTTAACTGAAAGTTGTGTTGAATGTTCGCTCCAGGACTGGTTTCATTGCTAAATATGTATGTATGAATATGTCTGAAGATCATAGCGGGTTTCATGGAGAGTTCTAGAGAATTTTTGGATAGTTACTAAATCTGGATAGCACACGGTATGACATACATGCAGTCAACAGTCACGTGTGGATGTGCGAAATAACAGTAAAAATCAACTGAATGGTAAGCAGTGATAAAAATGGCAGTTATAAGTGTGACAAAAGTCTAGGAGATGAAAATAAAATAGCCATTATTAGGATGATGCAGAAAATTTGGCATCTAATGCACAGTACCGCATCACATACAATTATACTTTAAAGTATCTTGTTGGGACCTAGATTGAGATGGCCTCTGTGCATGCAGTACGCAGTCCACCGTTTGTTGCCTCACAAGACCTAAAAATGCAGGATTTTGACAGAAATTTAAGGGTGATAAAATATGATTATATACGTGAACAAAAATGTGAAATACTGTCAAGCACCAAACACTGTAGTAATTCATATAATACAATCATTAAACTCACCTGGGTTGGATTCGCATTCACATTATTAAGATATGAAGCAGCTAATTATCATGTACTATCTAAACCTAAGAGCATTTAAATCAAACTCAAGGTATCGGTGAAATTGTTGAATCACATAGCGTTGTGAAGTGATTTAGGATTGGTTCAAAATAGTTCGAACCAGAGAGACGATATTAAAGTATTCTGAAGATCACGTTTCCTTGGACTCGACCATCGATCAATTTTAGAGCATAATAAGAAACCGGCAAACACTGAAAGGCCGTCTCGCCCTAGCAAGGGGCTCATCATCAGTGCGAATTTACGAACCTACGAGCGCGAAATTGTACCCAAGACCTTCAGTGGCACTGACTGAACGAACAACTTAAATGAAATCTCAGATCAAAATAGAATCCGTAGTTTGAACTTACAGTAAATTTATGTCAGAAAACTCGGCAACCGGAAATTAGGCAAGTAGTTTTGACGATTGCGTAATATGAAATGAAGTAAAGAAGCAGGAAGATGTAAATGGACTCCACAGTCATACTAAAATCAAGTGAGCAATTTACAGGTGAATATGCGTTCATAAACGTTTATTGCTGTTATTGCGATTCGCTGATATTTTAACAGGTATATTACATATGAACATTCAGGTGCTGTTGATGCCTGGTGAAAATCTATGGTAGCAAATTATAACTGTAGTTAACCAATTATTTAATTCGATTGGGCCAATTGTCAAAGTTTGAACACCAGTGAACGTTCGAAAAAGACACTTAAAATTAGTACTAACTGAGCAACGATAAATTATAAAAACTAGGTACAGAATGCAAACAGCAAATATGAAAACCCTCATAGGTTATGTAGTTCAAAGTCTTACTTACGGACTTTGTTTATCTTAGCCGCAGATTTTTGGCCGAGTTCACTTAGGAGAGAATGTTTCGGCATATAAACATACATCAAAATAACGCTCCGTCGAATATAACTGATTCCGATTATGCTTTCGTGAGATCCAGGAGACTAGCTATAATAAATACTGCTAGAAGGCAACAGGATATATATATATATATATATATATATATATATATATATATGTAACTTAACTACAGGTCAGAATCACCGCATGTTCCTATGCATGAGATGCAATTGATTGATTGTTCTTGAACTTGAAAAAGATTAGTGGTGTTCAACATTGTTTAACCTGTCAGCAGGATAAGGAGACCGGGAATCAGTGGCATTTCACTGACTTTAAAGGCTTGTTTAGTTCACTACAGTTCATTCAAATCAAACTCCGAGTCACTTGTCGAATTGCAAATCTGCTTTCTTTCAAACTCTTTGAACAGTACAATATGAAATGTAGTAAAATTAACGAAAGTTGAAAGACACAGAAAATCAAAACTAGATCATAGTTTAGTGGTGACCAAGTCGAGGTTTACTATGATCGCTACTAAATATTCATTACTATCCTGTAACCAATTTAAGAAATAAATTCAGGGTTGAGAATTTATTTGAAGGAGAAAGTAGGCGTTACATCGAGCAGCAATTTATGAAAGATAGGAGCAACGCGAAAAAGAACGTTGTGCGCAAGCATGTTTTTGGTACAGTTAGACAAAACGAGTACAATAATAAATGTTTATTTTTCACCAATCGCGTTTCATTCATAGATGTGTTTAAGGAGCAAGTAGTCTCTGTTTCGCATCACATGACTGAAAAAGTACTATCTTACATCAACTGAAGAACACAATGAAGTGTTTGAAAACAAGATTTAACTCATAGGTAGAGTGTTACATAGACATTGTAGTACAAACTCAAATTCGTGTTATCTGAGTCTGTTGATCAAGAAACATGACAGTCTCGTAATTGACAACTAGGATTCTTCGTAAGTTGAAGATTTAGGAACTGAGTGATTGTGTTCCGAACGTCTATCATTTCGTTTTGAGACGGCCAATGTGTCCGGTCAATGAAACGAATTCGAAGTAGGGGGTTCTGTTTACCTCCAGCACCCAGCAGGCAAATACAGCTTATTCGTTCACACAAATACATTTAAATGAAAAGAGGACAGTTTGCATCTGTGGGGGAAATCCGGGTAGAAAAAGTTGTTATAAAAGGCCTCCGTCGAAAGTCCATTTACTGAAAACTTCTCCAGTACATATCAACATTTCTTTCGCCGAGCCATCATGTGATTCAGTGTTGTAAAATAGTTGTTTCGGGCTTTGCTTACGTTCAGGTCACCGCTTTTAAATGTTCCCCTCTTCTTAGTGTTGTGAAGTCCTGGAACATCATTTGTAAGCATACAGGATATACCATACCCAAATAACTGCATCGTAATGCCGTCTTCAATGCAAGGGACTAGCCACGCATATTTGTCATGTCGTACTTATGGAAGTCAGCCTCTGCAAAGGATAACAGGCGTCCATACTTCCGGGTAGAAATGACATGCCGGGGGCACAAGAGTCAATATTTTCAGTAGCCTATATTTTTTTCTGACAATGAAAACAACATGTAAGAAAATGTGAGTAAAAGGTTTGAAAAATATCACGATGTGCAAAAATACGCATTTTGAATATTATGACAAGGAATACACTTGCAATATTCCTGGACTATACCAGGTGACGTCGAGCCAACAATGAAAACGTCACGGTTAATAAAAATTGTACAACACCTAGATAGAGGATACCTAAAATTAAGCCAAGTCGGTAGTCAGAAATGAGGAGAATCTACTGTGTAATTGAATGATAGTTGCGATGTAGATGAGTGATTGAACTAGGCTTGCTAGTTTATGAGAGGAGATGCGTTGCAAGTCATGCGCAACGGTAAGTGGGTACGGATTGTGTGCCTTCAATTAGATTGTATCAACCCAAATTAATGAAATCAGTGTAAATGTTGAATATTTTTGGGACCATTTATTCTGTGGACTTATTTTCCGCTACTTGATTAGGGATTTAACCAAGTAACCAGACCAACCTCGTCGGTAAAAACCAGAGATTAAGAGTCCTTTCTTAACATGAATGCAAGCAGAAGCAGTAGTTCACTGGTGAAACTACCTCCTCATGAAGATATTAAATGTCAGTGTGTACATAACGAACACCTGGAACCGTGCCGAAAGAACAAGAATCGAGAGCAGAGAAATAAATTGGTTTACACTAGCTCGTGAAAAAGATATTGGATATTGGAGATGCACTGAAAACCAGTGGGCGCTATAATCCGACTGTGCGCTTCGTTAATTTTGGCATGTTTTTAAGATTGTAGGGATTTTCACTGGAAATGTTTAGTAAAAGCCATGCTCTTCACTACAGTCCCCTAATTTTGCAAAAAAGAAATGTAGCTGGTCAAATTTGGAAGCTTGCATCAAGGGTTTTAAAGTTCCGCTATCTTGTCGTAGGTGCAGGTGTTGGAGGCTCGTACACAATATCTAAAGTATTAGAAGTTATTGCTAAATAATCTTAGAAATATGACGAATTCAGAGATTCTTTGCCAAAAATAACCTTTCCAGACAGCATTTCAGTGGACAAACTGAGTGAAACTATCCAACATTTCAAAGAATACGTCTCATCTTTCGGCGTGTCTGGAACTGTTTGTTAATGAAATACTTTAATAGTTATTATTTAAGTCTGCTTCCGGTTTTTTTTCGAGTGATGGAAAGAAGTCTCATATATATGGGGAGTGTGAAGCTGTGAAAGGTTTGAGATATCAAACTGACGAAATTTTGTTCCAGAAAATCCCCCTCCATCGCTGCTTCCTAACCAGAAGGATAATGTAGAGAAGGTAACATTTCACAAAATTTTAACTGCTTCAGGCTTCTGATCAAAAACACAGCCACATTAGTGTTGAAGAATTGCAAGAAGCCATCCGCAAGAACGAGGTATTTTCTGATCTCTAAATTATGTATTCATTCAGCAAGCATTCCATAAACGGATTGAAGCATTGCTTAAGGAGAATAGAGAATTACGCAGTGAACTGCTTCTGAAGTCACATAAATCTTCACAGAAGGGTCGTATTAATGTATGTCAGTGGATCTTGGTTTAACTTGTTTCTAGAAATCGTTGATTGACATGTACTCAGAAGTTTTGGATGAACTATCAGATCTAGATTCAGCATATAATGCCCAGGTAATCGTAAATAACCTTGTACAGAGAAGTATAAATCTTTCTTTAAAGCCACATTTTATTTTTGTCCTATAACTGTATCTTTCCGTAATTTATCTTCCCATGAACTGCCTAGGATCAATTACCAAGAGTTGTTGTTGTTGGTGACCAGAGCTCTGGCAAAACATCGGTTTTGGAAATGATAGCACAGGCCCGAATATTTCCAAGAGGCAGTGGAGAGATGATGACCCGATCTCCAGTTAAAGTGACTCTTTCTGAAGGCCCATACCATGTAGCCTCATTCAAGGATGGTTCTCGTGAATATGATCTCACAAAAGAATCTGAACTCTCGTCCTTGAGGCAAGAGATAGAGGTTAGTAATTTGGACTTAGTATGTTAAATTTCTATTGAACTTAGGTTCCTAAGCATAACTCTTACTAACTATTCAAATGATGGTTACTTTGTTTTTCAGGGATCAAGTGTATTTATACATAAGCAGGTTTTCCATTTCATAAGATATATTTTTTTATCCAAGTACAAATTCCGATAAAAATGGGCTCTAAAATAAATATACGCTGCACAAATAAAGAACTAAAATTATGAAGAGATAGGAGGAGGGTGAATATGACCAAAATGAATAAATAAATATAGATGAACAAGAACAGTATGTAGTAAGAGAAATAGCTCAGTTTAAAAACGTACAGTTGAGAAATTACTTTAGATGGAGCTCCTCATATCTATAAAGCTTTTCGTCTAAACCATTTCCGTTAACCTGTCGAAACTCTAAGTTCAGTTGCCTCAAGTGGGAAGACTGCGTGCTTCAAACCAACAGTCAGTCATTTTGATAATGATTACCGTATTTTGATCTTCATAAACCTTTTAACCTTTTCCTCTGTTAAACAGCATTACAAACGGGTAGACTGTGAATGAGTTGAATGGTTATATTTGTGAAGGCTTTTAAACTTTCTACATTGTTATAGGAGAGCTTGTCTTTAAATTGTGACGAAGACACAATGTCAACTAATTACTGTGTTCCGTTTGACTGACTGATTTATCATCACTCGTCAGTCACGAATCACCAGGCGCCGCAAATGCAAACGATTCAAGTCCACGAGACATTACTTCTGGTCTCCTGAATCCCCATTCTAAACTATGTGTTGGAGCTTATAATTTCTGAACCTCGTGCCAAATAGGACAATAGGCTTTCTTAGCAAGGACTCTAGAATCTCGTGCCATCTATGTCTGCTGAGTCTCCGAAATGTACATACAGGGTCCGAATACAGTTATTGATATGACCTCACCTTGTTACCCGACCGTAGCTGCTACCTTAACGTGGTCGTCGGGCTTGCCTATCGTCATGACCTAACCAAGCTATACTGGCTGGAACATATGTTACTGAAGGTTCTACCATGCCAGGCAGGTCGATTGGAGAACGATCAGACTAAAAGCAGCTACTCAAGGTCTTAGGGCGAAGTCGTACTGCTGACTGCAGAGGGCTGTGACAGCAGTAAGGTGTTTCCCTCGGACAACCAGCATCTGCAGCGATGCTGCCTTCTCACAAGGAAGGAAGGAAGGGTTAGAAAAGGTCGACCCTAAAAATGTCACACCTCACCCTACCTCACGGATTTCTGTCTACGGCGGTAAGGGTGCCCACTAAGGGCTTTCAAGAGCGGAGCTAATACTAAAAATACCTTTCATCAAAAGGCCGTGCGTGATCGACCTCAAGCAGTTGTCCCTTGTGCTCTGCGGTCACGTTCTCATGTCTCAAAGACCGACACTAATCTACTTTCCTTTTCAGGTCCCTGAAGAAACAACCTTCCACGGTGTGGGCAGCCGGGAAGTGATAACCGCCCTCATACCCGTAACAGCAGAGAGACCAAACTGGTCAAAATCAAATCCTTCTTACACCCCCTAATACCTCTCTTATCTCTACGACTAAATCTATTAGCATTCCTTCAGCTCACTGCACAGCTAATGCAAACGATTCGAGTCCTCGAAACGTTATTCCTGGTCTATTGAAGCCCCGTTCTAAACTACATGTTGGAGCATTTAATGTACGGACATTGTGTCAAATAGGGCAACAGGCATCATTAGCGAGGACTTTAGAATCTCGTGCCATCGATGTTTGCTGCGTCTCGGAAACGCGCATACAGGATCCGAGTAGCATCATTCACTTGACCTCACCATGTCTAGATAAAGAAGCAACTCGGTTTACCCTTCGTGTATCTGGTAGCCCTGATGCTGCTTCCAGAGGTCTCGCTGGTGTAGGTATAGCATTGAGTCGTAGGGCAGAACTAGATCTCCTAGACTGGATCCTTGTATATAGTCGCTTGTGCACTGTCCGACTAAACGGGACAGTAAGGATTCGGAAAGATAGGGACACCCGTCGTTGCCTCTTCGTCGTATCTGCCTATGCCCTCACTGACTGCAGTTCAGACGAGGTGAAAGACGAGTTCTACAGAAAGCTTTCGGAACTCCTCCAAAAAGCTAGGCGCTCCGATGTAGTAATAATGGCTGGCGACTTTAATTTCCAAGTAGGTAGACTGAGTTAAAATGAAAGACACCTAGGTGGATGTTATGGTGTCGCGGCTCAAAGAACAGACAATGGCGACCGTCTGTTGCAACTGGGCTCAGATAACCAACTATTTCTAGCAAACACTAATTTTAGGCATAATGAAAAACATCTGTTGATCTGGCGACCCCCGAAGTCGTCTCAACATTGGACGCAACTAGATCATATGGCCATCGGCCACCAAATGAGGGGTTTGATAGAGGACTATCGCTCGTTCTGGGACACATGTTTAGATTCAGATCATGCTCTAGTGCGAGCTAGTATTTGTTTGAGGCTTACTGGATGTAGGAAAGACTCTGCGAGGAAACCTCTTAGGTTTCTACCTAATATATATTTCAGGAACAACTAGAAAAACAATTAGGTGGCTCATCCTGAGACTGGAATGATATCCGAAACGCTGTGAAAACAACAGTGATGTCTGCTATTAAGCCAAACCATATGGTTACGGAGAAAGAATGGACCTCAGTAGCTTCTACCGACCTAACCGAAGCTCGGAAACTCATTCCGCCTGGTTCTGAACATGACGAAGATCAAAGTCAGCTCAAGCGCAGGCTGATAAAAAGCCTTCGCAATGATGGTAAACAGTGGTGGATAGCGAAAGTAAGAGCTGTGAAAAAGCAGCGATGATAGGTAACAGTAGATAATTTTTCCGACTTATCTAGGAAACTAGTACTAGGAATCCAACTGTTAGCGAAACTACCTCAGAAAAGGATGGTCGTATCATTCATTCACAACCCATGAGATTGGATCGATGGGCAGATCACTTCAGAGATCAATTCAACTGGCCTTCATCCACGCTTCGGTTACGCACGATCTCCCGTCATCCTGAATGGCCTCCGAGTCTTCATTTAGTTGAAAAATCTTGATGGAATTTGAGGCGAGGGCGAGCTTCAGGTCCTTACAGACTTACCCTTGAGCTGCTTAAGGATGGTGGTCCAGTTTTTGCAGTTAGATTGACTTGGATCTTAGGTAGAATCTTGGAACTGGGCTAGGGAGACAGAATTATGCAATCTTAAAGTAAAAAAAGGTATTTACAAACATATTTTCCAGAAAAGCCCATAACTTCTAGTTAGCTAGCGAATCGAAAAGAACTTATGAGTTTTATCTTACTGAAATTGCAGTGGCCTTCGAGAGAAGTACATCAATCTTATGCACGTTCTCTACTCAAACACTACAGGTCGAGTTAGAACTTATTTTATACTTTCGTAGGAATCGATTACTTCAAGTTTTGTTCGTCAAGGATACCGACCTTCTCCATCCTTGTTTGCTTTTGTCATAGACTTGCTTCTAGATATAATATAATCTTCGTCTGAATTTTCAGGAGTGGAAAGTCTACCAGGAGATTCAATGGTTGACTTAGAATATGCCGATGACATGGTTCAATTCAGTGAAGACGCTGACAACAATGCAAACAGTCCCCCCCTAACAATGCACAAATTTTCCTCATTATTTGCTTGCGTCAGCACCTGAATTAATGTTAACGAGTGGAATATTTGAGTGTGTTGGCCGCTTCACCTATCGGGGAATCTCATCAGTGCTAGTGGTCTGATGTCTGCACGCATTAAGAAGGCTCGATTGACTTCCTCCAACTTGCGTCACTTATGGCATAGGCGAGATATCCGTTTGCTAACCAAAGGACGAGTGTACTGCGCAACAGTCCTCTCTGTCCTACTATATGGATGGCAAACATGAACGGTGATAGTACAAGATATTCGTAGGTTACTGGTTTCCGATCATACGTGTCTTCAAAGCATTGCTCCTATATCCTGGGACAATGGAGTAAGCAATGCTGTCGTTAGGAAACGAGTACTAGGTAAGAATGACAGATCAATTATTCAAGTTTTGAAACTTCATCAGTCGAGGTGGTTAGGACATGTGTTACGTATGCCTAACAGCCGATTGCCTCGACGAGCGATGTTTTGTGGTGTAGAAGTAGGTTGGAAGAAAGCTAGGGGCGGACAAACCAAAACATGTCAGAAATCCATTAAGTCACTGACAAGTGGACTGAGTCATGTTGACAGATGTAGACTACTTGGTTGGAGTCCACGAGACGATAGTAATCGGTGATTAGAGGCCAAGAACGACATGGTCGAAATCGTTTGCAATGGCGCAGGTGTATCCACTCTTTGTGTTTTATGAAATGCTAATCTTCTTAATTCCTTATCACTTCTATCTTTCTTTTTCTAAGGTTTTTTTCACTGAATTATATTTCTTGCATAATTTCTTCGAACCCTAATCTTTGCGATTACCGCTAATGCTTCTACTATCTCTATGGGATTTGTCAGTCAGTCAGTCAGTTGCAACGTAGAACTTCGTACGTATGTACATAAGTTCATGTTGCTATACCACATTAGCACGGAGACGCAAATTTCAAATCAAATCCCATAGAGATAAAGTTAGTAGAGGTATTAATGGTAATGAAGAAAACTGGGGTTTGAAGATATTATTCAAGAAGTATAATTCAGTGAGATAAGGTTAGAAAGACAATGGTAGAGGTGCTGACGAATCCAGAAGATTAGGAATTGAGAGAGCTCGAAGAATGGATGCACTTGCGCCATTGCAAACGTTTTTGAGCCATGTCGTTCAAGGTCTCTAACCATCGGTGACTTTCGTCTCGTGGACCCCAACCAGGTAGTCTACATCTACCAACATGACTCAGTCCACTTGTCAATGTCTTCATGGATTTGTGCCATGTTTTGGTCTGGCCGCCCCCTATGGGATTTGAACTAGCTATTGAGTCTGTGCTAATGTGGTATGGCAATATGAACCGTACAAACTTTTGTATGTACACACGAGGTTCTACGTTGTAACTAATTATTTCCCCCTAACTAGCACTTACCGTTTCAGTAGTCAGCTCAAGGCTTATGTACGGTGAACTCGCTTAAATTTCAGGGTTTTTTTGCCCTAATGTGTTTTTTCGTATGTTTGTGTTCGTTATATGCCTCTATACTGAGTTCCATTTTCTTTAGTGTTACCTGAGTTTCTATGGCGTAAACAATTGCCAATTTCTTAGAAACGTTTGTATAGTTATACAAATGTTTTCCATTCATTTTTGAAATGTCATTTATTGTTGTGTTAGTTTTATTTTTTCAATCTGTCCCATAAAATACCCATCATGTTCGGTTTCATTCTGTAGATGCGTATGAGGGCGCTTGTAAGTGGTGGCAAAACGATTAGCACTGATGTCATTTCTTTAAGTGTGAAAGGACCTGGGCTTCAGAGGATGGTTCTTGTTGATCTACCTGGCATCATATCTACTGTAACAACGGGCATGCAATCTGGTACACGTGAAACAATACAAAACGTTGCTCGACAATATATGAACAATCCAAATGCGATTATTTTATGTGTTCAAGGTTAGTTAATCCACACCTTTTAAAGCACATCAATTTATGGTTTCGCACATTACAGTGCTGCATTTTCCGAGCTCTGCCATTTAACTTAGTGGCCCTCATTTTGCCTTTTGATGACATCTACTTCGATTTGGCTAAATAAAGTAGGTGACAGCTGTCCATAGGTTAATCAGCAGCTTGGTTTGAGTCAAGTTAACTAGTTTGTAAACTTTATGTGGCTCCTTACTTCTATGTTAACTTCTCTCTGCTTGTAAATATGAGTTGTCTTCCTTGCTCTTTAAATGATCAAATTTGATTCTGTAATTTTTATACCACTCTATAATTCTTCATTTCTTTCATTAATTTTCGAAATACCTATAGAGTTATGAATGAATGTATAGACTAGATTATTGTCTGTTACTTCGTTATTCAGGTTGATCTGGACTGTTATGTCGTGATGCCTTATTGTACAAAATAATAAAAACAAAGAAACTTATTAGTTCGCTAAGTTGGAACCTAATAATCCATGGAAAACTGAAAAAGTATGAGGGTGACTCCCAGTTTCTTCACCGAACAGCATATACGAAACACACTGCCTCTAACGATATTTACACTTCAGTTATCAAAAGGTAACCAATACTATTTTATCTAGTCGTAAATGGTGATGAGATTTTATCAGCCGACTTTGCAATACTCTTGATAAACTACATGACTTAGCACTGCTATGCACTTTGTTTAACCCTAGATGACTAGATAGAGTTACCAATTAGCGACTATCAGTATTGCGTATCCTTAACTTTGTAGAAAGTAATAATCCCCTACCTATTTCATCCGTTGCTACCCAGTAGTATTTCCAGAGAGTTTAATACCGAGTTATTTTAAGGAATCATCGGTTTCCTAAAACTTACCAATGTAATATGTATTGACAAGCGCAAAACGTAGGTCCAGAGACTCTATTTTATTGCATTCATCTATTTAATACATTAGTATTTCTTGTGATAAAGATGATGTCAGTTGTTTTACGAAATCAATAATTAAAACCTCAATATTTTTAATACCTATATTTTACATTGATCAATTTTTTACTTTATATGTTTTGAAAGACGGGAGCATTGATGCTGAGCGTAGCAATGTAACGGATCTAGTATCTTCTGTAGATCCTTCAGGCAAACGAACTATATTTGTCTTGACCAAAGTAGATTTGGCTGAATCAAATTTGTATAATCCCGACCGTGTAAGTTTTAAAAAGTATCATTTTTGTGATTAAATTTTCTTTAATTATAGATCAGACAAATTCTAGAGGGTAAATTATTCCCTATGAAAGCACTTGGCTATTTTGCTGTAGTCACGGGTAAAGGTAGGTTATTCATGAACTTAAGTTTAATTTTCTTTCTATCAAATAGGCACAAAAGATGAAAGTATCGATAGCATCAAAGAATATGAAGAAAATTTCTTCCGTCATTCTCGTCTATTTAAAGAAGGTACACTACGTATGTCTCAAATGACTACGGCCAATCTTAGCAAAGCTGTATCAGAGAGATTTTGGAAAATGGTCAAGGATTCAGTTGAACAACAAGCTGATACATATAGAGGTAAAAGAATATTATTTAACAAAGCTTATTAAATCACTGCGCTTCTGAATAGTATCTTTGTAATATCAGCGATCGCCCGGATGTATTTATAAAGAATATGCTCTGAGAATATTTCCACTTACCGACTGATAGTCATCTGTAGTGTGTGAAATCTTTGACAAAGTGTTTTGCAGCGATCTTGAATCATTAAGACAAAAGACCATGTTACAGTACCCTTTGATATAGTTCAGATCAATTAAGCAGAAATTAGTGTGGGATAGAGCTGACCTCTTCAATTATATGTCTTCCTAAAAATACAAGATTTCAGTGTCTAAGCTTGATTGTGCTTTTTTGATAAATGTCCATGCATATTTTTAAGCGAAGCATGGATTCCGAGACTGTGAGATATTTTGTGATCAAAATATTTCTCATAATCTGAAGGATATAAACCGACAACTATAATCTAATTTACATTAAACAGTATTAAATTGACAGTGGAGCAGGTTTCAAACAAAATTAACAAATTTCGTTAGTACATATATACTGAAATCCAAACAGCTACCAACCCACACCGATCGCACTTCGATCAACAGTATGAAACCAATTATGTGTACGAATTTTACCTAGGGTAAAAAACAATACAGTGTGTTTACTGTTAGCACAACTTCAAATTAAATTGTCTACTTCTTTATAGGAGCCGTTTTCATTTTACTGCTTTCTTGGAGATTTTCGAGCTAATTGATTATGCCTTCATGCTTTTAGTTATGAGTAGAAAAATCCAAAGCACTTTAAACAAAAGGCCTTCTTCATCGTTTCTGACATATGGAAAAATGTTTCAGTAATCTTTTTTCCAACAAATACTTGACTTGAGTGTACTACTTCTTGCTTACCATCTAGTTCACTTACATTTTAATTAAAATCTAAGATGTTACTGTTCTGTATCATAAAACAGATTTTCGTTTCACTTGATTTCGCAACAACACAGGTATGTATGATTCATATATCCTAAAAATTAACTTGCCCTTCTTAAATAAAAATTAGTTTCTTTACAGGCTCCATTTTTCCTCTTATTAGTTGACTACATTGAGAAGCTGTCTGGTCTAGCATATATGTCACAGCTTTTGAAATTTAATCAGACTTAACTTTTACATCCCAATATTTCCCACAGCTGTTCATCTAGATTAAGGTGACTGTGTGATATTCGAAGTTCCGGCTGTTCAATGCAGTATTTATTGTTATACGATTAGCAACCTCCTAAACAGACTTTTCCAAATTTTTTAGTGAATCGTCAAGCACTACTCCAAAAATGTTTTATATTATACAATAATGGAACTTAATTTCAATACGTGTATTTATTTAATTTGAAACATAGACATTGGCACAGATTGGCACAAAAATATTTATGCACCGCACAACGAAAACGTTATTGTAAAAAGATAAAGAAATGAGACTGAGTATTGTAAAAAAAGGAACAAAAATTGCTAGAAATTAGCATACGAGAGTAATTATAATAATAAACAATCATAATAGGAGATGCAACTCAGTCAAGAAAAATGTAAACAGGAAGGATTCTTTCAGCCAAAAAGGTTCCCACTTTCATTAAAAAAAGAGCTACAGCAAAACCGTCACTTCTTCCAATGTGAACCATGTCTGGTGACGTCTGAAGCCACCGTTTGGTACTGTGTATAGGACCTCAACCAAGACCTACAGATGCCAGTCCCGTATAGCCTTCTTTTATACTACGATGCCATATCATACACTGACCACCTCTTCACCTTTTCTAGCCAGTTCCAGTGTTGACAAATAATGCACAATATGGAGTTCGCTGGGATAAAAATCGTAGTACATAATCAAGCCACCAAGGTCGGTGTTTCAAGACGGTGATAGCAACTGAATTATTGTCTGTGTCCAAACAAATACTGTTTAACCTCCGTATCACTAACCAAATTTACCGAATATCAGTTCTTAGAAGGTAACGATGATAAAACATCGATGACAAAGTGAGATTGAGCAACCCTACCCAACCTCACTGCTGGAATGAAGCAATGGACAGAGGTGGTTGTATACCCCCACTCTGTCTAAGGTGTTTATATTTAAAGCCTTGAAGATCAACTACTCAAGCACGTCCTTCAACAGTTCTGTCCAACAAACTAAAGGTGGCCCTAATATCAACGAACGACGGTTGTTGACCTATAGTAAATATAGTGCTGTCCTAACATTTGGGGGATGGTGAATATGTGATAGTTGGACTCACGACTACAATAAACAGCAGCCCACTCCTCGCGAGTCAATGTTTCAGGGATTCTGAACAATCTACGAAATATGACGGAGGCTAATAATTTGGACTCAGTCAAAGTAGACTGAAGTTCCTGATAGTTGTCGAATAAGCGATATAAACCCTTTTTAAAGATAGGAACGACTATCGGTTCATTCCATAATGTTGGGATACTCTGCCAAACACTTGCGAATAACTTATTCAGTTCCCTTATCAGAATGTCGCTACCATCGTCAAAAAGAGCTGGAGGCAATTCATCTAGGCCTAATGGCGCTCCAGAAATCGAAGTTCCTTTTGAAGTTCCACCTTGTTTGGTGGATCAGTCGTCATCTGCCGTGTAAAAAGGGACAGTCTGTGTCGCGGCTGCAGCAGACTAGGTGTACTGTTTATCACAAAACTCTTTTTATCGTCCAAGATGTCGTTACATGTAATTGACTTGCGTCTCGTCAGCATCACAGATTGTTTCACTCACAACAAACTTCTTCCAGTGGCTCAATACTTGTAACCGCTTGTCTGAACTTTAGTAAAAAAACTATTAATTCTGTTTTCATGTTTCTTCGTTAAAATGTAGCTACTCGTTATAATCTTGAAACGGAATGGAAAAATTCGTTTCCTCATTTACGTGAAATGGATCGTGAAGAATTATTTGAAAAAGCTCGAAATAATATCCTAGATGATCTCACATTGCTAAATGGTATCAGCTCCACGGTATGGGAGAAAAGCATCCATTCTGAATTGTGGAACAAACTAAAAAATCATATATTCACTAAGATAATTGAACCTTCCCACCACATCGACAATATAAGGTAAGGTTACCATAAACTGTTTTCTATGTATGATGTATCGTTGGTGTCATTTTAAACTATAAAATAAAACAATTGTTGTAATTTTATTACTATGCGAATTTAAGTTTTCTCAAGTACAGGCTTTGACATTAATCTGAATTCAGTAGTTAAGTCCGATTCTATATACTCTTCTCCTATCTATAATTATTGAGACCAAGTTAAAAATGCCATCCGATTATCTAAACTAAGGTAAGACGGTATTTAAACCAGTCAGTCAGTCAGTTACAACGTAGAACTTGGTACGTACGTACATCAGTCCAAGGTACCTTAGCACACAAGCACAGAGAGATGGAATTATCAGTTCAAATCTCAGATTAGTAGAGGCAGTAACAGTATAAGTAGTAGCAGAAAAGATTACTGATCGAAGAATTTAAACCTGTTACCCCAATGATTGTAATCCGCAAGATTATGTTATTGGAATTTTATAATTATTAGTGAAAGACGTTCGAGAGTTTGTTAAATTAATAGATGCAACTTTAATTAGTTGATACTACACATTTCTACTATTTAGTTGATTAATGACTGCTCATAGTGTAATGAATGAGAACACAGGTGGGGAAACCGGATTGTATTTAACGAAAATTACAGAGTTACTCAGTAAAATCGGAAAACCATATCGTAAATCGTTCATTTGCAAAAGATCAGTTCATCCTATGGAACTGGACTGTTCCTGTTGCCAAACATCAATCCACTGTCACTATTCATGCGTTTCATACAAATTCCATTGTTTTCTAACTCTTCCTTTCTTGATCTTCCCCCCATATTATGCTACCAGACTTTACGTTGACACTCACGTTATATACTACTTATAAGTAGTTCGCACAACAGCACCACACTCGTCCCCCCTTTTAATCGGCTGTCTTCGTAGTCTTTCTGATCTCCGTACAGCCGTCTTCTTTATCAGTGTTTGTGGCTCGCCCTCTTGGCGCACTTGGAACCACCTTTGGAGTTCACTGGCATTCACGCGTTTCTGTTTGTTTCCTTTCTGGATCGTATACACTGCGCCGCGCCTCTCGGTGACGACGCACGGTCCCTCCCACTTCGGGATCAGCTTACCTGACCCTGGCCCTCTTCCTGTGGTATATTTCCGTTCTCTACACTTCACCTGGTCTCCCACTTCAAACGGTCTCCAGTTCTTTCTCTCCTGTTCTGACTTCTCCATGTCTGATGTTTGTTTCTCTCTCACATTCCTGATTGCTTGTCTCCGCTCTGTTCTCAATCTTGTTGTATTCCATCTCTGTTGTTGCGGCCAGGTTTTATCATGCGTTGGTAGACCCGGCCGTCTGCCGTACATCAGCTGGAACGGTGACTTCCTGGTTGTTCCCTGTGCCGAGGCACGATGTGCCAGCAAGATTTATTTATTTATTTGATTATTCTAATTTTCAGAACTTTCCAAACAAATGTTGATATTTGGCTCCGTGATTGGGTTGAAAATGATTTACCAGAAGCTTCAATTGAAGCTGGTTGGCAAACATTATACAAACAACTAGATAGCAAATTAAAAAAAATGCAAGATGTACCCGGTTATGATCCAGTATTTGATTCATTAAAAGAGGCTGTACATCAGGAAATTCGTAAACGTCATCTTTGGGATTCTAAAGCTGAATCCAGATTGGTGGGTTTATAATTTTATACTTGCATATTGTTACTCATGAACGGAAACATGTCATTTTGATGTGTTTGAATTATTACGAGTTTACCTTGGTCAGAAAACGAGAGCTAGGATCGATGATCCGGCGATACGAAATGCTACTCTAATCCGAGTGTCCCAACCCCCATTGAGTGTAAGAAGAAGACTTGATATGAAGTAGAATCTGTATTCTACAAGCATCCAGAAACTACGAGGTCCGAGACCAGAAGAAAACACGGATCCTTAACTGAGGATCCGGGTCATAAAACGTTACGGATAATGCGTATTTATACATTTAGGTCGAATAGGAAACAGCATCGAAGTCTGTGATATTGACAGTTAAGGTGACCAATAGGAAAAAATATTTGCGCTCTTTTGATTGGAAACTGAAATCACCTGAGAAGAATATTTCTATCCTTTCATTACGTGTGAATTCAAACAATAAGTGACAATAAGTCACAAAATACACTAACTATTGCACCTATTTATAAAGATCACATTGTCAAAATAGTTTAAAACAAATACTAGGAGTAATTTTGAATAAGATTACGATTGCAAGCTGAGTGAAAATTCAAGGATGATTCCCCTCTTCCAAAATGGAGCTCAGTCAGTTAATTACAAAGTAGAACTTCGTACGTACGTACATCCTTTCAAGTTGCCATACCACCTTAGCACAGAGACGCATTTGTCAATTCAAATATCATTAAGGTAGTAGAAGTGTAGTTAAAATATTTACAGTAATCGGAGACATTTGGGTTCGAGGATATTAATCAAGAATTATAATTCAGTGAAACATTTAAAAAGGGAAAAACAAGGTGATGAGGAATTCAGAAGGTTAGGATTTGAGAGAACATAAAGAATGAATGCACCTGCGCCACTGCAAACGATTTTGAGCCATGCCATTCAAGGTCTCTAATCATCGATTACTATCATCTCGTGGACCCCAGCCAGGTAGTTTACATCTGCCAACATGGCCCAGTCCACTTGTCAGTGACTTTATGGATTTCTGCCATGTTTTGGTTTGGCCACCTCTAGCATTCTTCCAAGAAAAATAATAAGATAGGACGAATGTGTGAAGACAATTATCCACTTAAGAAGTGTGGAAAACAAAGCATAAATCAAAAACATGGAGATAATAAAAACTGACCATAAATTAAAAACATGTGGATCAGTTATCACTAATCGGTGGCCTATGTGTAGAAAATTAGGTATTACAGTTATGATATGATGACAGCTTGACGTGAGTCAGTCAGTCAGTCAGTTGCAACGTAACAACTTCGTACGTATGTACATAAGTTCATGTTGCCATACCATATGAGCACAGAGACGCAAATGTCAAATCAAATCCCGTAGAGATAAAGATAGCAGAGGTATTAATGGTAATGAAGAAGACTAGGGTTCGAAGATATTATTCAAGAAGTATAATTCAATGAGATAAGTTTAGAAAGACAAAGGTAGAGGTGCTGACGAATCCAGAAGATTGGGATTTGAGAAAACACAACTAATGAATGCACTTGCGCCATTGCAAACGTTTTTGAGCCATGTCGTTCAAGGTCTCTAACCATCGGTGACTTTCGTCTCGTGGACCCAAACCAGGTAGTCAGTTCACTTGTCAATGACTTCATGGATTTCTGCCATGTTTTGGTCTGGCCGCCCCTTATGGGATTTGAACTAGCTATTGAGTCTGTGCTAATGTGGTATGGCAATATGAACCCTACAAACTTTTGTATGTACGCACGAGGTTCTACGTTGTAACTAATTATTTCCCCCTAATTAGCACTTACCGTTTCAGTAGTCAGCTCAAGGCTTATTTACGGTGAACTCGCTTATTTTTCAAGTTTTTCGTGCCTTAAGGTAGTCTACATCTACCAACGTGACTCAGTTCACTTGTCAATGACTTCATGGATTTCTGCCATGTTTCGGTCTGTCCACCCCTAGCTTTCGTCCAACCCACTCCTACACTGCAAAACATAGCTCGTCGCGGCAGTCGGTGGTTAGGCATTTGTAACACCTGTCCTAACCACCTCAACTAATGGTTTCACTACTTCATCTATTGATTCGCCATCCTTACCTAGTACTCGTTTCCTAACGACAGCATTGCTTGTACGGTTGTCCCACGATATACGAGCAATGCTTGTTAAACATCCATGATCGAATACTAGTAACCTATGAACATCTACTCTTAACGGCCATGTTTCTCATCCGTATAGTAGGACGGAACGAACTGCTGCGCAGTACACCCGTCCATTGGTTAGCGAACGGATATCACGCCTACGCCATAAGTGACGCAGGTTGGCAAAAGCCAATCGAGCCTTCTGTATCCTAGCTGAGATTTCGTCAGGTCACCAGGCCATCGGCACTGATGAGACTCCCAAGATAAGATTATCGAGGCTAATAATTTAGAAACTATATTAGTTAGACTTATTCCCCTGTGATTTTCACAAGAAGACTTGCTTTTACTCATAAATTGAGACAATCAGTGATTGAGACCAGTCGGATGGGATTGCGTGCAGTTTCCGGATCCTACCTAAGATCTCGGTCAGTCTAACTGTTAAAACTGGACCACCATCCTTAAATATCTCAGGGGTCAGTCTATCAGGACCTGCAGCTCGTCCTCGTTTCAGATTTCCTAACGCTTTCTCAACGTCATTAAGACTGGAAAGACTTGAATCGATTTGCCATTCAGGATGACTGGGGATCGTGGGCAACGGAAGTGTGGCTCGAGGCCAGTTGAACTGGTCCCTAAAGTGTTCTGCCCATCGATCCAGTCTCATCCAGTCTCATCATTGTCCGATATAGTCTCACTCACGTTTGGGTTCTTAATACCAGTTTCTTTAATAAGGCGGAAAAGTTGTCTAGTGTTGCCTATCGCCGCTGCCTTTTCCATCGCTCTTGCTTTCGCCACCCACCACCGTTCACAGTCATTACGTAGGCTTTTTATAAGTCTGCGCCTAAGCTGACTACGCTCTTCATCATGTTCAGAGTCAGGTGGGATGCGTTTTCGAGCATCCATCAGTTCGGTGGATGCGACTGAAATCCACTGCTTCATCCTAGCCTTGTGGTTTACCTTCCTAGCAGATATCACTGCATTTTCCACAGCCTTCTTGATGTCATTCCAACTTGAGTCCGGTTGGGAATCACTTGTATGGTCGCCTAACTGTTTTTCTAGTTGCTCCTGTAATATTTTCTTAGTTTGATTATCATTAAGTAAAGCCCCAAGAGTCTTCCTTACGGTGTCTTTCTTACGTCCAGTAAGCCTCAAACAGATACGAGCTCGCACTAGAGCATGATCTGAATCCAAACATGTGCCCCAGAACGAGCGACAGTCTTCTATCGAACCCCTCCATCGGTGGCTGATGGCGATGTGATCTAGTTGGGTCCAATGTTGAGACGACTTCGGGGGTCGCCAGGTCAACAGATGTTTTTCCTTATGCTTAAAATTAGTGTTTGTTAGAAATAGGCGGTTATCTGTGCACAGTTGCAACAGACGGTCGCCATTGTCTGTTCTTTGAGCCGTGACACCATAACCTCCACCTAGATGTCTTTCCTTTTCACCTAGTCTACCTACTTGAGCATTAAAGTCACCAGCCATTATTACAATATCAGAGCGCCTAGCTTTTTGGAGGAGGTCCGAAAGCTTTCTGTAAAACTCATCTTTCACCTCGTCTGCACTGCAGTCAGTGGGAGCATAGGCAGATATGACGAAGAGGCAACGGCGATTGTCCCTATCTTTCCGAGTCCTTACTGTCCCGTTTAGTCGGACAGTGCACAAGCGACTATCTACTGGGATCCAGTCAAGGAGAGATAATTCTGCCCTAGGACTCAACGCTATGCCTACGCCAGCAGGACCCCTGGAAGCAGCATCAGGGCTACCGGATACACGAAGAGTAAATCGAGCTGTTTCTTCGTTTAGACAAGGTGGAATCAGGTTAATGACTTTACTAGGATCCTGTATGCGCGTTTCCGAGACGCAGCATACATCGATTGAGCGAGATTCTGAAGTCCTAGCTAATGATGCCTGTTGCCCTATTTGACACAATGTCCGTACATTAAAAGCTCCAACATGTAGTCTAGAACGGGGTTTCAAGAGACCAGGAACGACGTTTCGTGATCTCGCTTCGTCTGCATTAGCGGTGCAGTGAGAAAAGGGAGTGTGATTAGATTTAGTCGTAGAGATAAGAGAGGTATTAGGGGGTGTAAGAAGGATTTGATTTTGACCAATTTGGTCTCTCGTGCTGTTACAGGTATGAGGGCGGTTGTCACTTCCCAGCTGCCCACACCGTGGAAGGTTGTTTCTTGAGGGACCTGAAAAGGAAGACAGATTAGTGTTGGTGCGTGACCGCAGAGTCCAAGGGACAACTGCTTGAGGCCGGTCACGCACGGCCTTTTTATGAAACGTTTTTTGAGGATTAGCTCCGTTCTTAAAGGCCCTTAGTGGGCACCCTTACCCAAGGAGACGAAAATCCATGAGTTAGGGGAGGTGTGGCATTTTTAGGGTCGACCTTTTCTAACCCTTCCTTCCTTGTGAGAAGGCAGCTTCGCTGCAGATGCTGGTTGTCCGAGGGAAACACCTTACTGCTGCCCCAGCCCTCTGCAGTCAGCAGTACGACTTCGCCCTCAGACCTTGAGTAGCTGCTTTTAGTCTCATCGTTCTTCAATCGACCTGCCTGGCATGGTAGGACCTGCAGGAACATAAGTTCCAGCCAATATAGCTCGGTTGGGTCATGACGATAGGCAAGCCGGACCACCATGTCAAGGTAGCGGCTTCGGTCGGAAGCTTGACGTGAAGCTTCTACACATATAGCTGAGGTTTAAAATAAGGCATTGCTTCCGCATATGCAGCGAAATCATCTATAAGATATTGTAATAAAGTGCAATGTAATCGAAGCTAACTTTTGAAAAAACTGTTCAAACGTTTTTTCCCATCAAACAGTTTCTAACATAGTCTTAACTGGAATAAATGATTTCTTTACGTACTTGATAATCCTGTGTAAATAATAACAAGGTAATTATTATTAAACAAAGCTTAGTTATTTCACTCTTCTTATCACAGAAATCAGTAGTCGTAAGAATAAAGTTCGTTAAGTTTCTCTGAACAACTCAAAGATAACGCTTTCCAGGAAACATTGAATACAGAATACCAAGTATGACTTCTGAATTCTAAAAGGCACTGTTTAGTTTTTAAAACTTATTCAAAGCTGAATTCCCCAAGCATATCTCAAGCATTTTCAAAACACTTCTAAATAGACTATCACCTAGCTGCTCGAAATAGACAAGAAAAAAATGACTAGGGTAATAACAAGGATAATTTGTTAACGAACTCCAAAATTCACTTTCCATTGCAAGCAAACTTTCCATCATACGTCTAAAAAATTACATTCTTATTGGTCTTAAGGCAAAGGGGGGTAATTCGAAATTGAATATATTTCACACTGTCAAAGATGTTATTCCTTCTTTCAATAGTCATCTCTATTGATATTCGACTTCATCGGAGTTCTCCCTCATTAGTGTCAAGTACTTTTTTTACTTTTGTAATAGTAAACCTAATTCACAAGTAAATGTATTATTGAAATAGTTATTCAGTCAATATTGATAGGTACTGACTATATTGATAAATGTATAATTTTCGTGCGCATTTTTTCGCACTACATTTGTTATGACAAATAATTATAGCAATTCACTACTTTTATTTCAGCGTGTCATACAATCGAATGCATTAGATGATCATACTGTACATACAAAATCTCAGTGGACTGCCGCTGTAGATATGTTAGAACAAGCAGTAAAAGATCGATTAAAAGATGGTGGGTTTTATATAAATCTCATTATTTAGTCAGTGATAATCGTATATTTTTTGCTAGTTATTTTTGGAATTGAACAAAATGCTGAAATGGTTACTTCCGTCCTTTGGATAAAACCGGTTACTTTCTTTGTAATAACTGAACATGGGCTAATGCTTCTTGATGTAAGAAAAAAGGCGAGACTACGGATAAAATGTTTATTATGCGCCAGCCACTTAACTGAATTACATGTGGTTTACTTAATTGGTCTGTATAATTATGTGGAAAAAGCTGCAAGAAAAGGAAACTTGAAACAATTGAATGATAAAACAAGGAAGCCCTCTGGAGATTATCATAAAACAGAAAGACCAATGAAAAGCAAGGAACGCAAAGTAATCAGCGATATTGAAGAACATAGAAGCAGATGGGTGGAGAAACTCTGGAACCAACCAGCTCCATTGCACCCAGCCAACATCAAAGCAGCACCAATCAACCTCCCAATCAATATTGGCCCACCAACAAGTGAAGAGATCAGCATGGTCACCCGACAAATCAAGACCGGCAAAGCAGCCCGACCAGACAATATTACAACAGAGGCAATGAAAGTAGACATGGTAGCAATTACAAAAATATTCTACATTCTCTTCAACAAGATTCTGGATGAAGAACAAGTACCAACAGACTGCAAATAAAGATAGCTGACCAAAATTCCAAAGAAAGGCGATCTCAGCAAGTGTGAGAACTACAGAGGCATCACTCTTCCCTCAATACCAAACAAAGTCTTCAACAAAATGTTCTTAAACAGAATGAAGGACTCCGTAGACGCCCAACTTTGGGATCAGCAGGCTGGATTTCGCAAGGGTCGATCGTGTACCGGCCAAATCGCAACACCGCGGATCATTGTGGAACAATCAGTTGAATGGAACTCACCACTCTACATCAACTTCATCGACTACGAGAAAGCATTCGATAGCGTGGACAGGGCAACACTACGGAGTTCCTGAGAAGATAGTCAACATTATACGGCATTGTTACGATAGATTAAACTACAAAATCGTGCATGGAGGACAGCTGACATACTCGTTCGAGAAGGATAGTACACATGCAACCCCGTCTTGAAGCAACATTTTGCATTTCGAGGGGGAAAACCGCATCCCGAACATGCTCGCATTGTTGCTAATGGTATTCAGAAGACTCTGCATTTTGTCAGCGTCTTCACCGAATAGAACTATGTCATCGACATATTCTAGATAAGTAAGCGACTTTCCTGGTAGAAGGTCCACTCCTGAAAACTCAGACGAAGATAAAGTTATATCTAGCAGCATGTATATGACAAAATTTTAACAAGAATGGGGAAAGTAGACATCCCTGATGGACACCACTTGATGTAGAGATTTCCGATAACAGTTCGCCATAAGCTCTAACTCGACCTGTGGTGTTCGAGTAGAGAGCTTTTATAAGGTTAATGTGTTTCTCTGCACACCTTTCAACGATAGATACTGCCACAGAACCTCACGATCAACAGAGTCAAATGCCGCTTTTAGGTACAGGAAGACAACTATTCTCGGACGCCTGAATTTGTGTCTGTGTTGCAGGACCTTTCGTAGTGTGAAAATGTGGTCTATACAGCCACGTCCAGGTCTGAAACCAACCAGGTTTTCTCGAGTCTGCTCTTCACGAGCTCTAGTTAGACGTCTAAGGATTATCGAGGCTAAAAATTGAGAAACTATATTAGTTAGACTGATTGCCCTGTGATTTTCACAAGAAGACTTGCTTTTTCTCATAAATTGAGATCAGTCGGATGGGATTGCGTCCAGTTTCCGGATCCTACCTAAGATCTCAGTCAATCTAGCTGCTAAAACTGGACCACCATGCTTGTTTATCTCAGGGGTCAATCTATCAGAACCCACAGCTCTTCCTCGCTTCAGATAGTCTCACTCACATTCGGGTTCCTAATACCGGTTTCTTTGATGAGGCGGAAAAGTTGTCTAGTGTTGCCTATCGCCGCTGCCTTTTCCATCGCTCTTGCTTTCGCTACCCACCACTGTTCTCGATATTTGCAAAGGCTTTTTATCAGCATGTGCCTGTGTTAACTCCTCTTCTCATTGTACTCAGAGCCAGGAAGGATGAGCTTTCGAGCATCCATCAGTTCGGTGGATGCTACTGAAATCAACGGCTTCTCCCTAACCTCATGGTTTTCATTACTAGCAGATATCACTGCTATTTCTACAGCCTTTTTGATATCATTCCAAGCTGCCTTTGGGTGGGCATCACTCACTACATGGTTGCCTAACTCTCTTTCTAGTTGTTCCTGAAATATATTCTTAGCTTCAATATCATTAAGTAGAACCCTGAGACGTTTCCTTGCGTCAAGTAAGGCACAAACGAATACGCGCTCGCACTAGAGCATGGTCTGAGTATAAACAAATGGTCCAGAATGAGCGGCAGTCTTCAATTTAGCCCTTTCACCGATATCTTATATAGCGATGTGATCTAGTTCAGTCCATCGTTGTGTCTGCTTTGGAGGTTGCCAGGTCAAAAGATGTTTTTCCTTATTTTCAAAGTTAGTGTTTGCTGGAAATATATGGCCATCTGAGAATAGCTGCAGCAGACGGTCGCCATTATCTGTTCCATTAGCCGCGACACCATCAGAACCACCCAGGTGTCTTTCCTTTTCACTGAGTCTACCTGTGGTGCGCGCTACTTATAAGTAGTATATGACGCGAGTGTAAACGTAATGTCTGGCAGCAGAAGATGAAGGAAGATCAAGAAAGGAACAGTGGGAACACAATAGGATTTCTATGAAACGCATGAATAGTGGAATGTCAGACAATGGATTGATGATGGATTGAAGATTTGCAAATTAACGGTTACGATATGGTTTTCCTATTTTACTGAGTAACTCTGTAATTTTCGTTAAATACAATTTGATTGCCCTCACCTGTGTTCTCCTTCACAACATACCTACTTGAGCGGTAAAGTCACCAGCCATGATTACTATATCAGAGCGCTTAACATTTCGGGGAGGTTTAGTGAGGTTTCCTTAAAACTTATCTTAATGTCGTCTGAACTGCAGTCAGTGGGAGCGTAGGCATATACGACGAAGAGGCAACGGCGAGTGTCCCTTTCCTTTCGAGTTCGTACCGTCCGGTTTATTCGGACAGCGCACAAGCGACTGTCTATCGGGATTCAGTCTAAGAGAGCTTGTTCTGTCCTAGGACTTAATACTATACCTATGCCGGCGAGGCCACGAGAAGCGGCATCTGGGCTTCCAGAAACACGAAGCATAAACTTTGTATCTCGATCTGCACTAGGTGAAATGGAATTGATGGTTTCGCTCGGATCTTGTATGCGCGTTTCCGAGACGCAACATACATCGATCGCACGGTATTCCAGAGTTCTAGCTAATGAAGCCTGTTGCCCTATTTGGCATAGGGTCCGAACATTAAAAGCTTCAATATGTAATTTAGTACGGGGTTTCAGGAGACCAAGAACAATGATTCGAGTGCTCGTACCGTTCGCTCCAGTGGCGTGAGGTGATAAATGGTCGAAAGAAGGGTTGATCGAGGAGATAAGAGAGTTATTAAGAGGTGTAGAAAAGATTTGATTGTGGCCAATTCGGTTTCGCGTGCTTTTATGGGTATAAGGGCGGATGTTACTTCCCGGCTGCCCACACCGTGGAAAAGTTTTTCTTGAGGAGCCTGAAAAAGAAAGTAGATTAGTGTTGGTCTTAACGACCTGGGAGCGTTCCCGCAGAGCCCAAGGGACAACTGCTTGAGGCCGGTCACGCACGGCCTTTTTATGAAGGGTTTTTTGAGTATTAGCTCCACTCTTGAAAGCTCTTAGTGGTCAACCTTTTCTAACACCCTCCTTCCTTGTTATAAGGCAGCATTGCTGCAGATGCTGGTTGTCTGAAGGAAACACCTTAATGCTGTCACACCCCTCTGCAGTCAGCAGTACGACTTCATCCTCAGACCTTGAGTTGCTTCTTCTAGTCTCATTGTTCTCCAGTCGACCTGCCTGGCATGGTAGAACCTTTGGGAACATATGTTCCAGCCAATGTAGCTCGGTTGGGTCATGACGATAGGCAAGTCCGACCACCATGTTAAGCTTGTAGCTACGTTCGGGCTTGAGTGAACAAATGGTGAATGACTGTATTCTTGGTCGCCGGCTTCCATGAGACCGGATCTCCTAGCGTTACTCCATCAAAGGCTCCGGGAGTAACCTTTTTTGAAATGCACTTGCTTTAGTCAAGGCATCTGTGTAGCGTCCCAGCCCACACACAAGTGATCTGTGTAAAGCATATGTCTTTCTGTGTCCCTTTGTACCACTATTTATGTTGTTTTATTGACTGGTAGTCAACTGAATTGCTTAATTGTCCTGCTAGTTTTTCTTCTCATTCGAATTCTGAAATGATACCATGAGAACATTTATGATAATAAAACACTTGCTTTTTTCCCTAAACAAAATCTGTGTTAGATTCCATTTATTCTAATTCCTCAACAGTATTCTCTGTCACTGCTTTCTAGAAAAAAATCTCTTTTTACTTCTTTATCAGTTAATCAGTTGATTGCCTCAAGTTTTGGTCCTGGATGGGTTGAACAGTGGACTCATTGGAAAAAACGTACACCGGAAGAAGTTATTCGTCTACAAACTGCTGAAGAGATTGAAAATTTATTAATATCACTTCCAGTGAGATTTGTTTTACGCGTACTAATAAATTATTGTTTTGATGCTTTGTATAATTAGTTTGTCATTTTAACCACTATTATTTCTACGTGCTGAAATAATATGTTTGATTTTTGTATCCTTTAATACTCACCTGCGTAGGGCATCTAATAAATGTCAACTAATAACTTCACGGTTTAGAACAAGTGCATCTTTCTTCTATTCTGTACTGTCTAATCACATCTTGTTATCACCATAATTTAACCCGGTTCTGAAGTAGAATTATTTCTAAAAACACCATAGCGCTATCATTAGCTTTTCTTCTGTCTGCCTACCTGCCTATGTTCCAGCTTGTGGAGTGAGAGGACTTATTGTCCCAAACTTTTATCGCGAATAGTTCTACTGTAGCTTAATTTTTTAAATATTTAAACTGAGTAGTGTGTAACAAAAGTGAGTATATTCATGTGTAGACAGATATGCACAATAAAATCTTCAGCAGATAATTGTAAGCGTAGCACCACAAAAACATTCATGGTTATACTTTGAACATACGTATAAAAAATCCAGTAGATTGGTTTATGGGTAATCATGACAAATATTCATGCTAGTGAAGGCGTACTAATAATGCATCATTCATTACATTTTACTTCTGAATATGAATTAAAAAAAACAAATTGATAAGTCAATTAGATTATAAAGCATTTAATACTGTTCAATAGATTGTTGGTAAGATTGATGCTGTGATACAGTTATATGTACAAACCAATGTTGTGGCGCAATTCTAATGCAACGTGTTTTATCTAAAATTGATTTTACTGTCTGAAACTTATTAGCTTGTGTTGTATTTCTGGTGAATAGAAAATTTCGTTATTTATCCGACCATTACCTTATCTTGCTAAAAAGTCCAGACATCTTTCTGGCTGCGATAGTTGATTAATATTTATTGATTTTAGTAGTTTATAATAACTTCTTTTATTGTTATTGTAATTCATTAACCACATTCACCTTCAACATGTTCATTTTGTGCCTTTATGTAGAAACCACCTGCTCATATTAGTCAAGATGACTTAACAACTATAAGACGTAATCTTCAAGCTCGCAATATTTCCGTGACTGATAAAATTGTGAGTTGTTTATCTTCTAAAGGTTTAATATATGTATGTAATCCTGTCGAAGAATAATGACTACTACGAATCTACACCTGTCTACAAAATATCTGTTTTTGATTCCGAGTACTTATGGTTGTATTTATAAATGGACTATTAGTTATGATATGTGGTATCCGAGATCCGGTTGTATTACATGCTAACCCCTCCCCTCAAAAAACTGGCTAGGATATTCATCCAATATCCTAAGAGCAATGTTGTTTCTTTTTGGTCGTCCTGACTATCAATGTCACTTCGAATGTTGCTTCTTATTGGTCGTCGTAACTGCCAATGTCACAGACTTCGATGCTGTTTTTTATTCGACCAAAATATATAAATACGCATTATCTGTAACGTTTTATGACCAGGATCAGTACCCGGTCCCGGATCCCTAGTCCGGGATCCTGATTATCTTCTCAACTCGGACCTCGTACTTTCTGAATGCTTGTAGAATACAGGTTCTACTTAATATCAAGTCTTCTTATTTTTACTCAATATGCGGGTTGGGATAATCGGATATGAGTAGCATGTCGTGTCGCCGGGTCCTCGCTCTCGCGTTCCCGACTGAGTAAACTCGTAATAGTTCAAGTACATGAAGTTGACGTGTTTGCGTGCAGGCGTAACAATCGATCTTTACAGAATCCAGCCTGCTGATCTGAGTGTCGCCTGAATCTTTCACTCGGTTTTTCAATACTTCGTTACAGATTTTTCATGGTATTAACAGCAGAGCGAAACCTCTGTAGTTCTCGCATCTTCTGAGATCTTTCTTTGGTATATTGATGAGGTGTCCTCCTTTCCAGTCTGTTGGTACTTGTCCTCCCTCCCAAATCTTGTTCAGCAGAGCGTGGAACATGTTATGTCCTCCTTATCTGCCCTGACAGGTGTGTTATCTGAAAGGTAGAAGGGTTCATTATGGCGTTAACAACCACATCCTGTAGAAAACTAACTAACTATCCTTTTAGTGCTTTTTCTGATTATTTGGACAGCATCAGTGCAACTACTTGTGTGTAAGGCATTTTCTTCTTCATGACTGGAGTACAACTGCATCTCTCCTGAAGCTAGGCTTTTTGCCCAACTTGCGTCCAAAGTGTTTCACTTATTCGAAGCGCCACCACTTATTTCTTCATTTCCGCAGCATTTTGAATGGTTCTACCTGTCTCCTGCAGCATACAAACACGCTATGTACCTCCAACAATGGTTGCTCTGGTTGTGAGAAGACCATCGGCCTCGTGACTCTGGAAGTAGCTCGGCTTTCATCACTAGATAGGATAACTCTTGTGAATGAAGGCCTTCCAACCCCCAGGACAGAGTTTGATTGGTTAGATTTTAGATGGCTTAAATTATTTTTACAGACTCTCTGATTCACAAATAAAACTGATCGGTTATGATACTGACTTTAGCTGATTCTCGTCACTTTTAAACCATGGATGAAACTGAAAGTTGGGACTATAAGAAAATGTTTAGTTCCACTGTTGGTTCGTGTAAAGTCAGTATATAGCACTTCTAAAGTTGCGTTTGACCCTGAGATTCCGTAAACTACAAAATAAAGTAGGACTAATCAGCATTTTATCCCATAACCAATCAGATTCATAAAAAAGAAAATACGTTCTTTTTTAGATATTTTCTAAAGAAATTTCCAAAGACACTGGTCAATTATTGTATAATAACGTGCTGTGCGTAATTTTTCCGAAAGATTTCACTTTTGTTTACTTTTAAATGCTACACCGCCCTCAGATTTGTGAAACTTGGCAACCTTTAGTTCGACGTCTTTATCTTGAACGATCTCTGTTCGCTTGTCAAGAATGTCGAAAAGGCTTTTATTATTACCAGCATGGTTTTCTTAATACATCCTCATTCGATAAATCCTCTGATACCAACGAACAAACATCTAATTCAACTGAAAATTCACATTCAAGTAAAAATGTATCACTATCTGATTTCCCGGATTGTCGAGAAGTGATCCTTTTTTCTCGCCTAATTCGTATGCTGGAAGCAACTAGTAATGCACTTAGGCAACAAGTTATGAATGATGAAGGTAAGTTATATGGTCATAGTTTGTAAATATAGATGACTGAATCTAATTACCTCTGTGATAATGAGCATTATATACAAGATTTCAGTCCTGTAAACCGCATCCAGCATA